GCGTATAAGACATAATTTTGACTCACGTCCACGTTTCTTGCCACGACTTCGCCTACGCTTTCCTCCTATTATGAAAGGTATATGTTCTCGAATTATTCATAATTGTTTCATTTAATAATAGATGATACCTTTCACCATTCCATGCATAGTCTAGTGTTAACTTCAGTTGTTTAGAGAACGTTTCATTAAGTTATAAAAAATGATTAAAAAATCAGTTCGTATTCCTTTTTCATCAAGGAATATAGTAAAACATTCTTCTGGCTATTATCCTCACACGCAGACCAGGAAACTAAAATCTTCACATGCGTATAAGACATAATCTTGACTCACGTCCACGTTTCTTGCCACGACTTCGCCTACGCTTTCCTCCTATTTTGAAAGGTATATGTTCTCGATTTATTCATAATTTTTTCATTATATAATATATGATACCTTTCACCATTCCATGCTTATTCCAGGGTTAACTTCAGTTCTTCAGAGAACATTTTATAGTGATTTAAATGAATGTTTCAAAAGTTAGTTCGTATTTCTTTTAAACGTAGTCTAGAAAACTAAAATCTTCACATGCGTATAAGACATAATGTTGACTCACGTCCACGTTTCTTGCCACGACTTCGCCTACGCTTTCCTCCTATTTTGAAAGATATATGTTCTCGAATTATTCATAATTGTTTCATTTCAAAATAGATGATACCTTTTACCATTCCATGCATATTCCAGGGTTAACTTCAATTCTTTAAAAAACGTTTTATACGCTTTTAAAAAACTGATTCAAAGGTAAGTTCGTATTTCTTTCTCATCAAGGAATAAAATATTTGTTTCTTTTGACCATTATCCTTACACGCAGTCTAGAAAACTAAAATATTCACATGCGTATAAGACATAATCTTGACTCACGTCCACGTTTCTTGCCACGACTTCGCCTACGCTTTCCTCCTATTTTGAAAGGTATATGTTCTCGATTTATTCATAATTTTTTCATTTCATAATATATGATACCTTTCACCATTCCATGCTTATTCCAGGGTTAACTTCAGTTCTTCAGAGAACGTTTTATAGTGATTTAAATGAATGTTTCAAAAGTTAGTTCGTATTTCTTTTAAACGTAGTCTAGAAAACTAAAATCTTCACATGCGTATAAGACATAATGTTGACTTACGTCCACGTTTCTTGCCACGACTTCGCCTACGCTTTCCTCCTATTTTGAAAGATATATGTTCTCGAATTATTCATAATTGTTTCATTTCAAAATAGATGATACCTTTTACCATTCCATGCATATTCCAGGGTTAACTTCAGTTCTTCAGAGAACGTTTCATAGAGTTTTAAAAGAATGATTCAAAGGTTAGTTCGTATTCCTTTTTCATCAAGGAATAAATTATGTTTTTCTTCTGACCATTATCTTTACACGCAATCTAGAAAACTAAAATCTTCACATGCGTATAAGACATAATCTTGACTCACGTCCACGTTTCTTGCCACGACTTCGCCTACGCTTTCCTCCTATTTTGAAAGATATATGTTCTCGAATTATTCATAATTGTTTCATTTCAAAATAGATGATACCTTTTACCATTCCATGCATATTCCAGGGTTAACTTCAGTTCTTTAAAAAACGTTTTATACGCTTTTAAAAAACTGATTCAAAGGTAAGTTCGTATTTCTTTCTCATCAAGGAATAAAATATTTGTTTCTTTTGACCATTATCCTTACACGCAGTCTAGAACACTAAAATATTCACATGCGTATAAGACATAATCTTGACTCACGTCCACGTTTCTTGCCACGACTTCGCCTACGCTTTCCTCCTATTTTGAAAGGTATATGTTCTCGAATTATTCATAATTTTTTCACTTCATAATAGATGATACCTTTCACCATTCCATGCATATTCCAGGGTTAACTTCAGTTCTTCAGAGAACGTTTCATAGAGTTTTAAAAGAATGATTCAAAGGTTAGTTCGTATTCCTTTTTCATCAAGGAATAAATTATGTTTTTCTTCTGACCATTATCTTTACACGCAATCTAGAAAACTAAAATCTTAACATGCGTATAAGACATAATCTTGACTCACGTCCACGTTTCTTGCCACGACTTCGCCTACGCTTTCCTCCTATTTTGAAAGATATATGTTTTCGAATTATTCATGATTGTTTCATTTCATAATAGATGATACCTTTCACCATTCCATGAATATTCCAGGGTTAACTTCAGTTCTTTAAAAAACGTTTTATACGCTTTTTAAAAACTGATTCAAAGGTAAGGTCGTATTTCTTTCTCATCAAGGAATAAAATATTTGTTTCTTTTGACCATTATCCTTACACGCAGTCTAGAAAACTAAAATCTCCACATGCGTATAAGACATAATCTTGACTCACGTCCACGTTTCTTGCCACGACTTCGCCTACGCTTTCCTCCTATTTTGAAAGGTATATGTTCTCGAATTATTCATAATTTTTTCATTTCATAATAGATGATAGCTTTCACCATTCCATGCATATTCCATGGTTAACTTCAGTTCTTCAGAGAACGTTTTATAGAGTTTTAAATGAATCATTCAAACGTTAGTTCGTATTTTTTGTTCATCAAGGAATAAAATAATTGATTCTTCTGACCATTATCCTTACACGCAATCTAGAAAACTAAAATCTTCACATGCGTATAAGACATAATCTTGACTCACGTCCACGTTTCTTGCCACGACTTCGCCTACGCTTTCCTCCTATTATGAAAGGTATATGTTCTCGAATTATTCATAATTGTTTCATTTCATAATAGATGATACCTTTCACCATTCCATGCATATTCCAGGGTTAACTTCAGTTCTTCAGAGAACGTCTCATTGAGTTTTAAAAGAATGTTATACAGGTTAGTTCGCATTTCTTTTTCATCAAGGAATATAGTAAAACATTCTTCTGACCATTATCCTTACACGCAGTCTAGAAAACTAAAATCTTCACATGCATATAAGACTTGCAAGTTTGACTCACGTCCACGTTTCTTGCCTCGACTTCGCCTACGCTTTCCTCCTATTATGAAAGTATATGTTCTCGAATTATTCATTTTTTGTTCATTTCTTCAAATAATATATCTTTCAACATTTCATGCACATTAGAGGGTTACGTTAACCTGGGTTCTTCAGATACCTTGAATGTGATAGTTATTGAATTTGTGGAGGTTTCGTTTCGTCAAGGAACATTAACTATGATAGCTTTAGTACATTCATTGGACAATGCACGACTTCGCCCGCGCTTTCCTCATATCATGAAAGGTATATATTATGAATTATTGATAATAATTACCTTTCTCGAGTTCGTGCATTTTGGAGGGTTTTGGTAACTTGAGTTGTTCCAATAACTTGAATTTCACGTTTCAAAACTTTCGATGATTTATTTACACGCCATGCTTGTCTTGTAACACAAACAATGTGAGTCACATCCATACGTTGGATATTCGAGATTTTTAAAACAGAATGCGCTTGTCACGAAGGTTAAGGTAGTAGAAAGCCGCCATTGCGCTAATGGCACATGCAACGAATATGTCCCTTACAAGTCAACAAGCTATAAGACTTATTGCGTTTAAACTTTTTGGCGTTTTAATATATCTCCGCCATCGGACATTCGGCATTGTAAGTCGAAGTGTGAACTGGGTCTAATGTGACGTGACAAGCACGTGACGTTATGATGTCGGGTTCACACCAGCTAGCCGACATGTACGGCAATTTCGAAGACGCTGGCTAGTCAATCAGATGAGTGGAATCTTTAACGAATAATGATAATAAGTCCTTCATTGTGCTCATGTGCATGCAGTCAAGTAAACCAAGTATTCACATGCATATAAGACATTCACTTGACGCACGTCCACGTTTCTTGCCCTGGCTTCGTCTATGTTTTCTTCCTGTCATGAGAATTACATTTTGATTGATTTTACACTTTCTTTGAATTAATTCAGTGTTTTAACCAAACCACTGAATGAAAAGGGTCATATACCGTTTCTGTTTTACACGTATTGTTGATAGAAAAAAGTTACGCATAACAAGGAAGAGAAATATCCATTTCACAATTTCTAATAGGTTTGCGCATGACTGCCTTATCTGTCACGCTTCATCTTCCGAATCCATTTTTTTGTGACCTGTAAGAAGTGCCATAAAAATAGAATGAAGTTGAATGTGTACCCTTATTTTTCAAATTGGAAATGTTCTGACGCCTTCAACTGAAAGTTAAGTATTTAATTAATCATCTGAGCGAAGATTGTTAAAGTGATATCACTCTTTAGAAATCTAATACACAGATTTATGTTTATCTATTGCTGATGTATACATTTTGAGTGTCCTTTCAGTGCTGTAAATTGAAGTGTTGACCTTCCTTTTTACTTTTTGATCCTGTTTTCTGTATTTACTTAATACTCTCATTCCCACTTCCATTCATAATATTCACTCACTCACACAAATACGCATAAATGAATAAATGAATATAAATATATATATATATATAAAACAGATAAATAAGAAGCGATTAATTACAAAATATGTTTCATGTATGACCATGACATTTGACAACACTAAGCCTTGATACCGTCCCTCCCGGGCTCTAGCTGGTGACATAGTGGTGTCCGCTGATTTCCCGCTGTCTCCAGTACATATGTATTTCACGTACGTGGTATGCATGACTTATGTTCACTTTGTTTCGAAGTTGTTAATATTCAATCTGTATAACAGCGGCCTGTAAATAAATGAGTCTGGACCAGACTTTCCAGTGATCGATATTGTGAACAACAATCCACGCCGACGGGGTACGAGAGCACGCTATCAACCAAGTTACCGAACCTGCCCACCCGATCCATTAAGTCGCCTCTTACGACGAGCATAAGTTGTTGGGGACCACGGGGACGCGCCCACTTCGACTTTTATTCTAATTACTATCGCCATGATAGTGCTGAAAATTTGTTGCAAAAGACTGACAAACAGAAAATCCATCACTCACTTGCTGTATTGACCTACCTTTGGATCTAACGACCTTTCGTATGTACTTCCTCAGTGTGGTCTTATCTTCCTCCTCGTCAACGCGGAACAGAGTGGCGGTGTCGGCTAGTCTAGCGCACATCCGTGCAGCTTGTGTCCAGACATTGGGGACAGAGATATGAGCCACGCATAAGGACCCTACTCTCATGAAACCTCGTGAACATCTGTGCTGGGCTGGTTTGTCCACACCTAGAATGAGTAAAAATGTGTTTTATTCACTGTTAATACTTGGACAATAAAAGCAACAAAACCCTTTCCATAATCATAAGAAATGCCTTAAATATATGCGACAAAATCCTTTACATGATCATACGAAATATCTGTTAAATGCAGAGTCCATTGTATGATTCCGACTATAGTATAAACGTATGTTCATGAAACACTATCAAATAGCAATGATGCCAGGAGTTCGCGAAAAGTGAAGCTTGTCCTGCATCACCGGTGACACCTGTCGCAAACACATGCAAAGGAAAGACAGTTTTTCGCCCGAAAAAAAGGGATTACATGGCACAAATCAAAATAGGGAATTGTATCGGACATCATTTTGGTAACCGCGTAAACATCTTTCAAATGTCTGCCATACAACCTTTCTACAAAGGACTTGAATGTTGTAAATCTGTGCAAACAACTTTTGAGCAAGAGTCGTATGACGACTTATTTAACGGCTATTTACATCTTTTTCCCTCTCTCCTGCGACCACGCCCGCAGAAGCATCTGTTATTGCCACATTCTTCCGGTCTGCACAGGAGATCCCTTTCAAATACAATTTCTGGTCTTTCATCCCCACGCTTTTCGCAAGTCAGTTTTCGGTTACAATTGATGTAGGCAGTCCTTCCAAGCTGTTCAAAAGAAGATATAGTTTGTTTTACAAAGTTATGAATACAAATGCAGTAATAATGTTTTTCAACTGATTTTTATTTTAACTGTCCTTATTTGATTAAATTTATTTATTGAACTACAAGTGACTGCTTACACCAAGATATTGTCCATTGGGCATTCTACATCCACATTCGGATGGCAACACACACTTGCTGCCACTTAGGACGTAGTTATCATTGCAGTGACATCCTGGTTTGAAGGATGACACAGGGCAAGCTTGGTTTGGCTCATCGGTACAGGATTCTTGACATTTATAATTGCCATATATTTCATTTTCACCACAGGTTGGGGTTGCTGCAAGACAGAAACGTATTTTTTTATATATGATCATATTCGTGTTTACATGTCATGAGTCGCTGTTACTAAATGAGATGGTCGTACTCAGTAGCTATGGTATGACAAAATATGATAGATTCCTTTTGAATACTGAGGGACTGAATATGGATTTACGCCGTTTTTAGCAAAATTCCAGTAATATCACGGCGATGAGCACCAGAAATGGGCTTCAGACTTTGAGGAATCGAACCTTGGTCTTCGGCCTGACGAGTGACCCTTTAACCACTTGACTTCCCCTTTAATAAGTTGTGGACGGTATGCACTTAAGAATTAAACTATAGATTAGAAGTTCACTTACGACATCGGTTGTTGGTTTTATCCAGATATGAAATAGCAGCCATTTCATTTTTGTCTCTCGCAATTTCAGCCATCGCTTGAAGTATGGTGCAAATATCTTCGTCCTCTTTAGTGTTGCAGTAATCAGCAACACAGGACTTATAGTACTGGGTCCTCGTTGCTTCATCGACCAACGGGAAGATGGTTTCGCTGTTGATCATTCCACAGGCATCATCGCCGGCTGCCACCTTTTCGTCTTCTTCCTTGCAGTCATTCAAGACTCCCGGTTCCTTTTGGCAACTATAACGTTCAAAATACGCATTTAGAATGTTTCTATAAGTATCAACAATACAGTAGACGTAAGTATCAATAGACGTAATGGCACATTTTTTCTTGATACGGCATTCAATCAATGAAGCAATAAATGTGCTGTTGTCAAAGTCTTATTTTGGTATGAGAAATAGTTTCTTGCCTTCGGAATAAAATCAAATACAATTATTCAAAGTAAAATACTATAATAACCACCCTTCACCCCCACCAACCCTTACCATCTCCAGCGTCTCCATTTTTAATTTGAAGACATAAACAGATATTTCTGATTGGTATTAATTTCAACGGACCATTTTTTGCCGAGGGTACAGCTTAATTATTTTGTGACAGAAGAACGGCAAATGCACATATAAAGATCATGGAAAATGTCTTACTCTTCAGCATCTTCATCCTCGCCAGGAATAAGCCATTGCTGTCCGAGATTTCTCTCCTGTTCTCTGCTACCTTTACCTGGTGGCTTTTCGCCGTTCTTCATCAAGAAATCATCCGCACCGTTGTCGTTGAAGTTACCACAGATACCATTGACTTTGCTAGCAAAACGTTTGTCCACCTTGACAAATGCTGTCTTGTCGCCATCAAAACCAAACTGGACGCCATAACTCGTGGTACAGATGATGAATTTACCTGCGCAATAGCACGAAAAGCATTCTCCACACTGGGTCGGGCTATCGGAGTTTCCTCCCACCTGTAAGATAAAGGTATACGTAGATTCGTTGTTCGTACTTTCCAAACCAACTAATCCGGTCGTTCGAGTTTTAAAACCTTGGCAATATTTCGAGATTATTATCCGATCACGTGTTTCCGCGTACTGATTTTACACAACGAGTGTCAGAATTATTGTATTTCCCCAGCGAGAGGTAGCGTAATACATGAAACCTTATAATATATTTATTATTTTCGTAAAATCAGTATGACACAATTGCGAGTGTAATAATTTCTTTATTACCCATTCTACCATGAATTTCGATATTACTCGTTTCTGATTGGTCAGTCAGAGGCTACTAAATCACAATAAACTCCCATCTGATTAAAACAGCTGGTTTGACGGCCGCATCACCGCGGAATCTTATATTCATAGAATAGTACTTTTTTCAGTCATTAGGCATATCAAAATAATATCTACGATTACAGGTTACAAAATGCGAAGTTGCGGTTACTACAATATTGAAAGGATGTATGGCAATACATTTCGTGCATAAACACAGGAAAGAAATCTTCAAAGAGAATGTTTTTTTAAGTTTGGGGGACAACAGAGACCTTGGAATTTGGCGCTCCTCAATATACGACTGTGATGTCATTCTTTTGCGTCACAATGAGCGATATGACGTGCGGTTTAGAACGAAAACAAGTTGCCGTGTGTATATGCTTTTAATGCCTGTCATATGTTCGAGTGACATATTACCGTAACATACTGCTTGAGCATATACAGCGCCATATTTTGTTTACAGGCTATAGTCGGTGAGTCCATAATTTAGATCGACAACCCACGCAAAGCACTCAACACGACCCAAGCTGCTTCACTCAACATATTTGCTAACACTAAAGAATCCCCATTTAATTTAGTCATAGTAGAATGGAGATAAACATACTGTGTTTTCAATGTAGAGCTAATTTTAACATTTGAAATTCATTTTAGCGCGGTTAAATCTACAGGTTACCAAGCTTTACATTGAGAACGTAGAATATTTATCTCCTTATTACATAGGAAAACACACTAATCACCACCGCCGTCCTAGAGCTATGACGTCATTTCTAGTGTGACATCATTCGGACTATGCGTCACATTGATGATCTCAACACTGCCACCCGGATGACCTGAGCTATACACTGGTGCGCGTGAAATGACATTTGCATCAAAGCAAATACGATTTGTATGTAATTCACTGGATTGGCAGGTCCAGACTCAATTGTTTACAGACCGCCGTCAGATAGCTGTAATATTGCTCAGTAAAAATCAAGCAATCATTATTTTAACCGGGAATACCCACAAGAAACTGTTTCAGAGGCAATCAGTTTAAGGGAGTGATGTTGTTTATATACTTACAAGGAATTCTGGTCTGCCACGATTCCTAGGCCTCTGTCCGATCTTAATTGTTGTTCCACAACCTTCAAAGGTGATAGATTTCGTCCATGAAGGAACGCCGTTGGGTCTATCACGTTTCCAGTTATCAGCTATAACCTCCCATTTCTCCGGGCACGACGCGCTCACACAACCAGCCATTCTATATTTGCATACGCCCATGAAATCGATCTTTGGATAATGCTTCTTCCCTTTGCGGATGGTCGGTTTCAGTGTACAGCTGTCGAAAGTGGACGTATGTGGGTCTCCGCTTGATATGCACTTAGCGCCCTCTGAAAATATAAACCAATTAGCGTTGTTACACAGATTCAATTGAAATCATTTCAATAAGCAAGATGCACGGAAGACCCAGTGGAGTAAATGGAAGACCCAGTGGAGTAAATGGAAGACCCAGGGCAGTAAACGGGAGACCCAGTGCAGTAAATGGAAGACAAATTGGATTAAATGGAAGACAAAGTGGCGTAAATGGAAGACATAGTGGAGTAAATGGAAGACCCAGTGCAGTAAATGGAAGACCCAGTGCAGTAAACGGAAGACAAAGTGGAGTAAACGGAAGACCCAGTGCAGTAAATGGAAGACAAATTGGTTTAAATGGAAGACAAAGTGGAGTTAACGGAAGACCCAGTGCAGTAAATGGAAGACAAATTGGTTTAAATGGAAGACAAAGTGGAGTAAATGGAAGACACAGTGGAGTAAATGGAAGACTCAGTGCAGTAAACGGAAGACCCGGTGCAGTAAACGGAAGACAAAGTGGAGTTAACGGAAGACCCAGTGCAGTAAACGGAAGACTCAGTGCAGTAAACGGAAGACCCGGTGCAGTTAATGGAAGACCCAGTGCAGTAAACGGAGACCCAGTGCAGTACATATAAGACCCAGTGCAGTAAATAGAAGACAAAGTGTTATTGGAAGACAAAGTGGAGCAAAGCGCTGGAATTCGTCATGCTGAGTGGGTGCCTTCGGTGCCAGGATCCGCGAATTCCTGGTTCTTATCCCAGATTCAGAATATGGTCCTTGGTTTCTCATCTAAGGAATTCCACCAAGTGATCAAAGTTTAGAAATGTTTTAATGTGTAATTTTATCTCCATAAAACTAATCCTGCTTGATAACAATTAACACTGTTGAAATATAATTTGCGTATAAGTATTGTTGTTTAACGCAACACTCCAATATTCCAGCTATATGATGACGGTTTTTAAATAATCGAGTCTGGTCCAGACAATGCAGTGATCATGGACATCATGGACATCGATCTACGTAATTGGGTTACGATGACATGCATCAACCAAGTCAGCAAGCCTGACTACCCGATCCTGTAACTCGCCTCTTACGATAAGCATGGGTTGCTGAGACCACATCTAACCTGGATCTTCACGGGGATTGTGTATAAGCATGACTTACGGAAGTCTATTTGGGTAGTTCTACACTGGAAGGAGAAGGGGTACAGACAGCCAACAGCTTTCTTCGGGGTGTTGTTGCATCTGTGTCCACGGGATGTGTCTTCGCATTGCTTGTCGCCACAGTCGTCGTTTGTTTTACAGTTTCCATTACCTACAACCAGAATGAATCAAATTGCAAGATCTATATCATTCCACAGTTTCGACCAAAAGTATTTAATATAACAAGTCTTGATTATCCGCCGAAACAGATGACATTTAGCATAAAAGACAAAATCCTGGAGAAAACTATATGAATGGACCACTGAAAATAAGTGATGACACCAGGTGCTCGCGAAAAGAGTAAGCACGCCCTGCTGTATCGGTAGAACCCACCATTAACACAATTTGCATAAAAAACACAGCCTTTAACTTTTTGTGATATTCTTCCAACCATTTAGAAGTGGTCTGCACAAGAACAACGTTTTATTGCTGCCACTTTTTGGTGAATAGGGACGTTAGCTGCCAATCAGCTTGACATGTATAATTTGTCGTTCTTAGTTAAACAATACCTGTTATTTTTTTACATACCATTTTGACAGAATGTCCTGCATTGTACTTTAGGGCACTTCCGTGTGTTCCTGCTCTTCAAGCATTTCAATCCTGAGTTAGGGCCAGCCAATTTCAATGCATCCGAGAACCTGATGCCATTGGAGTTTTTACTATTGAGTGGAATGTTTTTGTTTGAGCTCTTCGTTCTACACTCAATGTCCATAGGGCAGTCGCATATCCCTGCCTTTTCGGCATTTTTCTGGAAAATATGAATCAAGTTGCGAATAAGTGAGTGAGTGATATGTGTTTGTTTGTTTGTTTGTTGTTTAAAACCGCAATCTGCAATATTCCAGCTATATAACGGCGGTCTGTAAATAATCTAGTCTGGACCAGACAATCCAGCGACTGACATTATGAGCATCGATCCATACAATTGGAATACGATGACATGCATCAGCCAAGTCAGCGAGCCTGACCAACCGATCCCGTTAGTCGCCTCTAAAGACAAGCATAGTCGCCTTTAACGAATAAGAATTCGTTGCTGAAGACCTATTCTAACCCAGATCTTCACGGGTGAAGGGAGTGAGTGAATGAGTGAGTGAGAGAGCTGAATTTTCAACGCTTTTGGCAATGATCCAGCAATATCACGTTGGGGGACACTGGAAATGGGTCCATGAATGAAAAGAATAACGGCAGACAGTGACCGAAATGCCTAACGTATTTAGACAATGTTAATTCAAAGGATAACATATATGTGCATTTTAGAATTTACCTGTTATCAATTCATAGCATCTTAATGTATTTGCTAACAGAGCATCGAAAGAAATTCAATTAGAATAAAAGAATAATCTGTAGCAAAGTAACATTAACTTTTCTCTCCTGAAATCGATATATGAAAGTGACAAAACTTAATCATAAGCAATATCTGTATACACGGAGTCCAGGATCGTATTCCGACAAAATCATGACGATGTGTTAATGAATCACTATCAACTACTGTCATGATACGAGGTAATTCTGCCTCACGGGCGGAAATTTTGAAGACAATTGAAACATGCCTATCGTAACGTAGATAAAGCACAAAGTAGACAAAAAATGTATTCATAACTGTTTTTTGTCTATTTTGTCATCCGTCAACTTCCAACAAAGTACCTGTCAAACAAATCAGTACATGAAGCACATTTTTGAATTGCTAGTGCTGCTATATCTTTACCAAATAAAGGGCATATGTCTATTTCACTGTTTATTATACTTATATAGAATATATACTTGATATGGAATGGACTAGTGTGATTAAAGAAGTATATACACGAATATGTTTATTTGGTGTACCCGTCTTCCGACGATGACTGAATGTTCATACCTTAAATAAAACGGAAATGCTATGTATCCTGAAGTGTATCCGTTAATCAAATATTTGTTTATCCGATTTCAACGAGATCTATAGCATCAGGGATAATAAATAAAAGCGGCAAAACCCTTTTCATATTATATGAAATCAAGAAGTTGATTATACGGCCATTGTTCTTGACACTGATGTGTCAAATTTGAAAATGTCCTCCACATGTCTACCGTGAAACGTTTTGAAAGCTTTACTGAGATCTTGAATGTTGTAGCCTTCATAACATGGCATCTGTTTGTCCAAACAAGTAACTTTTGTTTCCGTTTATGAGACCATGCCCAATAGACGTCTACTGCTTTCTGGTTGTCTGCTGATAGACTTCGCGGGATTTGCGCTGCTGTTGAACAATGCCACTGATCTCGAACTGTTGTCCATAGTATTTCGTTTTAATGATAAACAAGTCTGTAAAGTTATTATTGTTGACTTTTTATAATTTTGTGTACTTTTTAGTTACGTAAATTTCAAAGTATGCAAACGGTTTATGCCTCCATAAGCGCAAAACATATTGAAGTCAATTCTTAAATAAACGTACAAACCGGTGTTCGCAATTGCATATACCCATACGTGTATTTACACTGTGCAAACCGGTATTTATGTTTCTGCCTCCACAAGCGCAAAAACTATGTAAGTCAATTCTTAAATGCACACCCTTGATCGTCGCATGAAGCCTGTCACTGAGAACTCCTCTCCTCCCCTAATACTGTAGGAATCCACCCAGTCGGACCAGCTGTAGTCGTCGGTGTCAAGGGTTGCAGCTGCAGATGAGGAACATGATCGGATGGAGCTCAATGATTCGTAATGGTTATTTTCAGACAATAAGTCTAAACATCATTAAATACATGTGAAACTATTTAAGCCCGAATTCACATAGCAATATTAGGTTTCGAGTGTTAAGGTGTATTGATGTTTGTAGAGTAAGGAAGCAATGTGAAACGGAGAAATTACATAGAAGGTTATGTAACATAAGAATTTAAAGTTTACAATACGCCATAATCATTGAATGTCTGTGAGATCAGTTATCAATTCATTAGGAAAAGACGCCATTTGGGGCTTCTTTGGTTTTTAATCAACCAAGACATAACGTGTTGAGAATGAGCTGATTACATACCTGACCTTTCACAGACGAATCTAAGTTTTCGATTACTGGGAACAAGAACAACCTGCCCTTCACTGTATTTAGCAAAGTTCACCGCAAGGTCTTTTCCGCTTGTTTTGTCTGTTTCATCAGCAAAATATGATCTCCTTCTCTTGCCTCCTTGGAATCTAAAATCGAATTTAACGGATTAAAATTGTAATGGTGTTGGATGATGTTTACACTCATGATACGTTAAGAAATAGTTAAAACAATACCTGGTAAGTAAAGGTCTAAAACACTGTAAAATGTAACAAGCCACTTAAATGGACCTAGTAGCCATGCTGGGTGTCTCTCGTGCTCTTTTAGTTGGTTGCGGTACATATGTATGGCAGTAGATGCAAGGTACAAATGTATGGCAGCAGATGCATGGTACATATGTATGGCAGGAGATGCATGGTGCAAATGTATGGCAGTAGATGCATGGTACATGTGTATGGCAGGAGATGCATGGTACATATGTATGGCAGCAGATGCATGGTGCAAATGTATGGCAGTAGATGCATGGTACATATGTATGGCAGTAGATGCATGGTGCAAATGTATGGCAGTAGATGCATGGTGCAAATGTATGGCAGCAGATGCATGGTGCAAATGTATGGCAGCAGATGCATGGTGCAAATGTATGGCAGCAGATGCATGGTACATATGTATGGCAGTAGATGCATGGTGCAAATTTATGGCAGCAGATGCATGGTACATATGTATGGCAGTAGATGCGTGGTACAAATGTATGGCAGCAGATGCATGGTGCAAATGTATGGCAGTAGATGCATGGTACATATGTATGGCAGTAGATGCATGGTACAAATGTATGGCAGTAGATGCCTGGTGCAAATGTATGGCAGTAGATGCATGGTACAAATGTATGGCAGTAGTTGCCTGGTGCAAATGTATGTCAGTAGATGCATGGTACATATGTATGGCAGGAGATGCATGGTGCAAATGTATGGCAGCAGATGCATGGTACATGTGTATGGCAGTAGATGCATGGTACATTTGCATGACAGGAGATGCATGGTACATGTGTATGGCAGTAGATGCATGGTGCAAATGTATGGCAGGAGAGCATGGTGCAAATGTATGGCAGCAGATGCATGGTGCAAATGTATGGCAGCAGATGCATGGTGCAAATGTATGGCAGCAGATGCATGGTGCAAATGTATGGCAGTAGATGCATGGTACATATGTATGGCAGTAGATGCATTGTACAAATGTATGGCAGTAGATGCATGGTACATATGTATGGCAGTAGATGCATGGTACATATGTATGGCAGTAGATGCATGGTACATATGTATGGCAGTAGATGCATTGTACAAATGTATGGCAGTAGATGCATTGTACAAATGTATGGCAGTAGATGCATGGTACATATGTATGGCAGGAGATGCATGGTACAAATGTATGGCAGTAGATGCATGGTACAAATGTATGGCAGCAGATGCATGGTACTGTATGGCAGTAGATGCATGGTACAAATGTATGGCAGTAGATGCATTGTACAAATGTATGGCAGTAGATGCATGGTACATATGTATGGCAGTAGATGCATGGAGCAAATGTATGGCAGTAGATGCATGGTACAAATGTATGGCAGTAGATGCATGGTACATATGTATGGCAGTAGATGCATTGTACAAATGTATGGCAGTAGATGCATTGTACAAATGTATGGCAGTAGATGCATTGTACAAATGTATGGCAGCAGATGCATGGTACAAATGTATGGCAGTAGATGCATGGTACAAATGTATGGCAGTAGATGCATGGTACATATGTATGGCAGTAGATGCATTGTACAAATGTATGGCAGTAGATGCATTGTACAAATGTATGGCAGTAGATGCATGGTACAAATGTATGGCAGTAGATGCATGGTGCAAATGTATGGCAGTAGATGCTTGGTGCAAATGTATGGCAGTAGATGCTTGGTGCAAATGTATGGCAGTAGATGCATGGTACATATGTATGGCAGTAGATGCATGGTGCAAATGTATGGCAGTAGATGCATGGTGCAAATGTATGGCAGTAGATGCATGGTACATATGTATGGCAGCAGATGCATGGTACATGTGTACGGCAGTAGATGCATGGTACATATGTATGGCAGGAGATGCATGGTACAAATGTATGGCAGTAGATGCATGGTACATATGTATGGCAGGAGATGCATGGTACATATGTACATATTGTAAAGCAAATAGGGAATTGCATCAGAGGTTATATTGTCACTGATGACTCACATTCGGAAATGTCCTCCTACATTGACAAAGGTTTACTGAGGCCTTGAATGTTTTTACCCTGACCTGACCACCTATAGTAAGGTGTTCGATGATAGGAGCGAACTCTTAATACATCTTACCACCACACATTTCCAACTTAAGCAAACCAATATGTGAAACTCTTCATGATATTACTGTAATATATACTCAACAACAAAAGTTCCTGACACCAATTTTTAAGTAAAGTTTGGTTTTCAATATTGTAGTACATGAATGGAATCAAGTCACAAAAACGCAACTGATACAGAAAAGCATGCCTTCCATGCAAAAGTTGACTTTTATGCAAGCCCCATGCATTTCACTACCCAAGAATGGGTATAAAACATGTGCGTTAACGGGATTCCTTGTGCATTGTTTGGCATCGTGCTGACAACAACCACTCAGAAAAACAACAAAACTACGCTATTATTCAACACTACGAAATGCCACGCCTGTCCGAAAATGAGCGTCTCCGAGCCATTGGTATGCTTAAAGCAGGATCGAGTCAACGTGATGTTGCAGGAAAATTTGGTGTTTATGGCAACGTCGGCAACAGACGAATGCAGTCAGAGACCATCCTCGGAGTGGCAGGCCACGCATAACCAATAATCGACAAGACAACTGGATTCGAACAACACACCTACGAAATCGATTCCGGCCAGCAACAGTGACTGCAAGAAGCATCCCTGGCCTTCGACGAATATCTTCACAAACCGTACGTCGCCGCCTCAGATGTACAGGGATTGTCGCCAGAAGACCCGCAAGCCGCAGCGATGGACGGATTCGAGTGTACCGACGTCGAGGTGAACGTTACGTCAATCATTGTGTCATGGAAGAAGATCGGTTCGGGGAAGGCAGCGTTATGGCATGGGGTTGGATTACAGCAAGACAGAGGCCCCGTTTTGATAGTGGCAGAGGGAAATCTCAATGGACAGCGCTACCGCGACGAAATCATCGGCCCTGTTGTTCTACCGTTTTAGCGTCGTCATGGCCCAGGCATTACCTTTCAACATGACAACGCCCGGCCTCATATTGCTCGATTTGTTCAGAATTCTCTTCAGCAAAACAACGGGAATGTCATCCCCTGGCCGGCTCACTCCCCTGATCTCTCACCAATCGAGCACATGTGGGATGAAATGGATCGGCGCCTTCGACGTCAACCACGTGTTCCACAGACACTCCAGGAACTTCGAAACATGCTCCTGCAGATATGGACAGATATCCCACAGGAATTTGTGCGACGCCTGGTCCATTCCCTGAGACGAAGATGTTTTCTTGCATCGCAACCAGAGGTTGACACACACTCTATTGATTTGTAAATTGACATTTTTGCATGTTCATGTTTTTTGATGAAATCACGCATTTTCTGAAGTCAGCATGGCAAATTAAACCATTTGAACACTTACAGAAGTCTTTTATCTGTTGCAAACCGAAATTGTTTCAGATTTGGTAAAAAACATAATATTGCATTAAATCTTATTCAATGTCACAGGAACTTTTGTTGTTCTGTATATATGAAAACTCACTGGTGGACATATACATACCTTCTAGGTGCCCTTTTACCACCACCACACATTTTATAGAATGTCGTTTTCCTCTCTTCTTCCTTCTTATCAACATTGACTTTGAATACGAATCCTCCAATGAAGAATTCTCCACCGGAAACTGTCACAATGGGGTACAACGCAGAGTATTAATAAAATGATGTGATTAAATCAATAAACATAACGGATACATAGATAATCGCGACGAGTGACTTTTGGTATCAAATATATTACCATGATTCGATAAACGTTTAAAACCCCGAGGCTTGCCGATAATACCTCTTGTGACAGCTTGTAATTTTGACGTCACGGTAACTATGCCGTCATGATTGTCTGCAGCAAAGGGGCCAGGGTGTGGCCAAGGCCCGGATATACAGAGGGCCCCGTCTGAACCTGCTAGTTATATCATTAATGCTGAAAATGAAAATCGTGTTTTGGAATATATCAGGACTGGTCTCAAAGTTATCTGATTGCGAGTGTTTATCGTTTTTAGAAACATTTGATATAATTGGTTTGACAGAAACATGGACCCAGAAGCTGCATGTTGATGATACGTTCTGTGAATATACCGGCTTTATAAATTAAAAAACAAGAATGGATAGCAAAATGTGGAAGACCTTTAGGTGGAATCACAAAAAGTGGTGACTGTGTCTTACTTGAAAAAGCACTGTTTTGACTTTAATGACACGACGTCGTGTTTTACTGCTGCGTGTATATAGACCCAGAAGGATCTACATGGTATGACAGTAATGTTGGGTCTAATAACGGTATATTGTTGGTAACGTTTCTTGCTTTTAAATGAAAATGTTGATATTGAGTCACGCCAAGAATCACATCATTTGATAACTCCCTACATGTCATTCAATGTTTAAGTGGGATAACAGCAAAGCAGAAAATTTCCAAGAACTTTTCTTAACAGATACCTTCTCATGCCTTTTACATAGTTATTGATTCTGTTTTTACAACATTGATAAAAGCGTATTTTTCTTTACATAGGCTATTGTGATGCCGGGAATGTAATGAAAGGAAGCGATTATCAGTTCATCAAAACAATTTTGGACGAATAAATTTTATCCATAACAAGGAAACTAAAAGTAACAATCATGAGTGGTTTAATTATTTCAAAAATCTTTTGAGCGGTTATGCCCAAGGGACGCAACTCTGCATAGCGATTCGCGGCGCCTTAGACGACTGGGCCACCCATGCCCCCGTATGTTCAGTAAGATATTTATTAGCATCATTAATAACGCTTGGTATTGTGGTATACGTGAATACACCTGGTAAGATTGCGGAAGAGCAAGCAGGGTTTCCACAAGGTAACTCAACCACTGAGAATAGGTTTATACTCCTAGCTCTTCTTTCATCTGCCATACTGGTGTACGCTAAGGATATGAATTAAGCCTTTTTACGTTCTGTTTTCTTTTTATTAACGAGATGTCAGCTCAAATCAAAAGAAATTACGATAATGGTATACAATCACGTACTGAAATTAAATATTTATGTTACTGTCCACAGATGATATTATTTCCGTTTTAAAGTATTGTAAAAAGTTTATAAACTTTGATGTATCAGCTGGAAGTGTACTGTGATACGTCGAAACTAAATGTTAATTTGGATAAGTAAAAAGGAAATACGCCGTCAAAGAATGAATTGAGGTTCTTTCGTGGACATTTACTTCAAACTATAACCTCTTATAAATATCATGGTGCAATATGTTCAAGTAAATTATCATGGAACCAGCATATGTGTAATGCAGCCATAAAAAGATATTATTGCGAATTCTACAAACCTTTGAACACTTAAGCGACTGTGATTATAAATCTTTCTTCAAAATAGTTGACCCCAAAATAGCTCCTACTCCTTCTTATGGTTTGGAAATTCTTGTTTCGCCGAGGCTAAAGTTAAGTACAGTTATACGCTTGTAAAAGAGTACTTGGTGTTAAACATAATACTTCTAATGTAATGGTACATGGCGAATGTCGTCGCATACCTTTGTATGTATATTTCACTGAACAAATATAATAAAATATTGATTGAAACTATTGAAAATGCCAGAAAGTAGATTACAAAAAACATTGTCATAATATGATGTTATTGGATGAAAAAAGATGGTGTTCAAACATGGGCATAGAGTGTTAAATGTCTACTTTATAAATGTTGGTATGGTTATATTTGGGTCAACCAATTTCTTTTAGAGAATCATGCTATGTTAAAATCGTCACTAAGGCAGACACTTTCTTATACATACTTTCAAGATAGATATTCTTATACGCAAATACGCGCTGAAAATGAATTAACTGATGTCAAAAAAGGAAATGAAGAATATCTTCAGCACAATTTAGATGAAGATCACACCGGTTAATGGTTTAAGTTGATAGGCACAACAAAATACCAAAATGTTTAAGATTATGTGGACAATGTTCCTTAAATGTCGTCGAAGATAAATTGTTTGTTTGCTGTAAATATGATAATTGAAGGAAACGATATAAAAACGAACAAAAAATGTACATCTAAATATATACACGTTAATCTCCTTAATGCCACATGTGAGCATAACGACTACACGAAATCCATATCTATATTACACCAAGATGTGCTATTAGGAAATGAACACTATTCCTTTTATATAATAAAAAATGTCTTGTATTCATGAAATGTACACTAAAATATCAAATTGGTTGATATTTAACGCCGCACCCGGCAATATTTCAGTTATATGACGTCGGCCTTATAGATATTGTGACCAACGATCCAAGCCGATCGCGATGGGATACGATATCACACATTCAACCAAGCTACCAAACCTGACCACCAGATCCTCTTGGTGGTCACGACCTAGGGCCCTGGGGACCTATTCTAACCACACACACATCCCTCCCCGGGCAAAAAAGGGGGCTGTTATATATTTATTCACAACAACTTTCTTAGAACAAAACTTTTTGAAATGCGATGTCTGTAGTGCCAACCTTTTTCTGTGTAACACATTTTCTTCAAGTTTAACTTACCAACTTTCCTGCCTCCGATCCTGAGGTTTTTCAACCTCTGGCAACCACCGCCAAATGTCTGAAAGATAGCCAGCTGGGCTCCCATGTCTTTGCATTGTTTCGCGGCTTCGGATTTGGATACTCGGACGGACGACACATAGAAGCAGCCGCCTGATGGTGATTTTGTAAATGGATACTCGCAGCAAACAGCGTCCTCTGATGGCCGACCTGTTAAATCAAGACATGATTAAACCATTTTTAACATTTAATGAGTATATTCACCATCACATCAAAGTTCAGGTTGCGTAAAGATTGGTGTAATAAAAGTTTTATAACGTTTTATTTAATAGGTGAGGTGAAATCGCGTCCAAAATTATTGCACTCATAAAGCGACGTGCATGTACGTGTGTGTGTGTGTGTGGCTGTACTAGTCCGGACTGATGCCGATTAATAGTGCTAGCTCACTGAGATACCATGCCGCAGTTTAACATGTGTACCCCCCTCAGACACAATATACTGACTCCGAGCCGACCAGTCCTTGTTTTAGCCCCTTAATGCCGAGCGCCAGACAGGGTAACAACAAGTACCATCTTTTAACGTCTTTTGGTGTGACGCGGCCGTGAATCGATCCCCGGACCTTCCGCTCTCCGGGCGGACGCTCTACCACTAGACCACGGAGGCGGTCCAGTTAATAAATAAGTATATTTGGATTTAGGGACTGTCCATTTTATAGTGTATATTGCATTGTTTGCATGTGACATAATTTTAAGCCAATGTTTTCGCGACACATTTGTTCCGAACATGTCAAGCGATTTCTGTGTGTAAATCCTTATTGTATTCCAAAACAGCCGCCTGAAAGATAAGGTTTTTTACAGGATGCAGAGTTACAGTTAGTTTCATCACTGATCATTGCTTTAGGAACGATTAAATAGCCACAATAACATCGAGAGTGACGCTGAATTGGATGGTTTACCAACGACATATCACAAATGATGTATGATTTTGAGAGTATTTTCTTACGTCGGCAGTTCTTGAGGAAACCATTTGCGCTACGGGCGACAGGCATGTATCCGTTCATGCAAACACATTCGTTTTCATCTCTGTCACATTCCATATTTTTGGATTTAGAGCATCCGTTAGCTTCACCAGAGATGGGTGTACTTTTTCCGTTTCCGAGACATCTGGAGGCAGCCTTACATCCAGATTCCTTGAAGAAGGCTTGGCCTTTCTGTGGGGTTAAGAGACTGTTTGTCAGTAATGCTTTAATTAATTAAGGAATATCATAAATACAAAATTCTTTGGAATAGGCCCGTGTACAGCTTATCCAGGCCAACAAACCTGATCTTGCCATTTTTGATACATCCTATTTATTCATTTACATCATGGAGTTTTATGTACCTGTTGACACATATGTGATTGACAAGATTCAGGGAAAAAACGTGGCAACCATGCAGACCTCGCTTTGAAATGTCACGCTTGCATCCCGCATACCAAGACTCCCCATTGTTCTAGGTGCCTAAGGTTTGGTACCTACGAATCTGTCGACTGACATTGGGAGAGTACCCGGATTTGTTGCCAGGAAGACAGCGCTTCTGACAATCTGGGTAATGCAGAAGGCTACAGTGTTGGGGAGTCTTCATGTTCTCCGAAACGTTCTGGTCGGGTTTGACTAGGGAGCGCTTCCTGGGAGGAGACCCATTCGCTGTCTGGGCTGGGTGTAGAGGGGGCAGGGACCCTGAGTTGATGGTGAGCCTAATGAGCCTTACTGTGCGAGGATCACCCAACCCCTCTTTGCTGCATTTATTATTTTAATCTGTATATAATAATAATGTCAGGACTTATATTGTGCTAGACGCCAAACGCAAGGTGCATGCTCAAAGCACTAACATTATCCCGATCAATGGATCAGTGAGCACGCGATTTTTATTCTCAGCTCCCTGGGGAGTATACAACCCGGCCTGACTTGTCATATAATTATATAATGTCCCTGAATTATAATTTTAGTGTCATAGAATTATCATAAGAATTAGGAATATATACAGACAATGGGAGTCACATAAATGGATGCTGTATTTAGCCATGTCTAAATGAACGGAACGAACTTATCAGGAACAATAATCATACCCTGAACCGTCCTCCTGGAGCTTTGCAGTAACCACCATAGGCTGTGGAAAAAAAGAAAGGAACATTCAAATATTGGCTTAAGGTTTGTTATTGACATATCATACCATTTCATCAACATGTGGTCACTGTAGGTTTTACAAGTATTAATACTTTACTAATTCAATAAGAATACTCGATATGCAGCGAAAATGTTAAACGTCCACTGTGTATTAATAAAAAATATTGTATTTGGTTCACCGTTTCATATTGTCTTATATTTACCACCTCTGTGTCTCCGTTCCTGTACCTAGATACACAATAAAACGAAATAACAGAAAGAATAATTTGAGAGAAACATTAATCATGCTATTGAAGAAGAAGAAACAAAAAGTTTTGAAAAGACTATAACAATATTCTGCGCTTCTTGATTCTCTTATTATATCTAAACTTAAAACTTTACAATTATATTCTGAATCGCAGACATGGTTTACAGTCTTTTCAATAATGACACTCCACACCACAATACACAGCTGTTTCCTCAAAGATTGCATACACGAATCTTCTTTTATTTGTCCTAAAATGTCCACGAATTAAAACCATGATGATGGCGCGAAAGTAATTAGTTATTATTTTTTTCCACATGCATTTGTTTGAGTTGGTATTTTAGAAACGCGATAAAAACATGCGAAACCATATACAAACAGATACATTAAGGTAAAACATTTTTAAAAAGTACATCTATAAATGGTGTTTATATATCTGTAGTGATACCGAGAACAATTATTTGTTTTGCCTATCTAATTATTGTTCCTATTGTCGTTTGTACTAATGTACTAATCGTCAATCTATTCAATAGAAATAGCAAATTATATGATAATTAAATTGTGTATAGTGTGCATATTGAAAACTAGTTTGTAACGCACTGTATCTATAATGATTCTCAAGGATAGCACTGCAATTAGATTCATTAGGGCTTTATACATGCATCTAAGTATACATGCATCTACACCAAAAACTGGTTGCACTGGTCCCATCAAGAAGGTGTTTACATCCCGCATGCATGATATCTATTTTACAAAACTTACTGCACACTCGAACGGTAGCTTTGCATCCACTGCCAGCATTTACATACACGGCCTCGCCTCTAACTTTGATTATGGACAAATCTCCTTTGCATTTGTCATTGGAGAGTTCGTCTATAAGTTTGACACGCGCCTTGGTTGCGTAGCCCTCTATTATTCCCATGATTGGCATTGATTCAAATTTGCATTTCACAATATAAAATCGTTTTCTAGACTTTCGGCCACCCTTGCGCCGTCTGCTGTTCCTTCTCCTCTTGCTTCTCTTTCCACTTCGCTTAGATTTTCGGTTTCGCCTTTTCCCTCCTCTCCTAGACTTTCGGCCACCCTTGCGCCGTCTGCTGTTCCTTCTCCTCTTGCTTCTCTTTCCACTTCGCTTAGATTTTCGGTTTCGCCTTTTCCCTCCTCTCCTAGACTTTCGGCCACCCTTACGCCGTCTCCTGTTTCTTCTCCTCTTGCTCCTCTTTCCACCTCGCTTAGATTTTCGGTTTCGCCTTTTCCCTCCTCTCTTGGACTTTCGGCCACCCTTACGCCGTCTCCTGTTTCTTCTCCTCTTGCTTCTCTTTCCACCTCGCTTAGATTTTCGGTTTCGCCTTTTCCCTCCTCTCTTAGACTTTCGGCCACCCTTACGACGTCTCCTATTCCTTCTCCTCTTGCTTCGCTTTCCACCTCGCTTAGATTTTCGACTTCGCCTTTTTCCTCCTCTCTTAGACTTTCGGCCACCCTTACGACGTCTCCTGTTTCTTCTCCTCTTGCTTCTCCTTCCACCTCGCTTAGATTTTCGGTTTCGCCTTTTCCCTCCTCTCTTAGACTTTCGGCCACCCTTGCTCCGTCTCCCGTTCCTTCTCCTCTTCCTTCTCCTTCCACCTCGCTTAGATTTTCGGTTTCGCCTTTTCCCTCCTCTCTTGGACTTTCGGCCACCCTTACGACGTCTCCTGTTTCTTCTCCTCTTGCTTCTCCTTCCACCTCGCTTAGATTTTCGGTTTCGCCTTTTCCCTCCTCTCTTAGACTTTCGGCCACCCTTACGACGTCTCCTATTCCTTCTCCTCCTGCTTCGCTTTCCACCTCGTTTAGATTTTCGGTTTTGCCTTTTCCCTCCTCTCTTAGACTTTCGGCCACCCTTACGACGTCTCCTATTCCTTCTCCTCTTGCTTCTCCTTCCACCTCGCTTAGATTTTCGGTTTCGCCTTTTCCCTCCTCTCCTAGACTTTCGGCCACCCTTGCGCCGTCTCCTGTTCCTTCTCCTCTTGCTTCTCTTTCCACCTCGCTTAGATTTTCGGTTTCGCCTTTTCCCTCCTCTCTTAGACTTTCGGCCACCCTTGCGCCGTCTCCTATTCCTTCTCCTCCTGCTGCGCTTTCCACCTCGCTTAGATTTTCGGTTTCGCCTTTTCCCTCCTCTCTTAGACTTTCGGCCACCCTTGCGCCGTCTCCTATTCCTTCTCCTCTTGCTTCGCTTTCCACCTCGTTTAGATTTTCGGTTTCGCCTTTTCCCTCCTCTCTTAGACTTTCGGCCACCCTTGCGCCGTCTCCTATTCCTTCTCCTCTTGCTTCTCCTTCCACCTCGCTTAGATTTTCGGTTTCGCCTTTTCCCTCCTCTCTTAGACTTTCGGCCACCCTTACGACGTCTCCTATTCCTTCTCCTCCTGCTTCGCTTTCCACCTCGTTTAGATTTTCGGTTTTGCCTTTTCCCTCCTCTCTTAGACTTTCGGCCACCCTTACGACGTCTCCTATTCCTTCTCCTCTTGCTTCTCCTTCCACCTCGCTTAGATTTTCGGTTTCGCCTTTTCCCTCCTCTCCTAGACTTTCGGCCACCCTTGCGCCGTCTCCTGTTCCTTCTCCTCTTGCTTCTCTTTCCACCTCGCTTAGATTTTCGGTTTCGCCTTTTCCCTCCTCTCTTAGACTTTCGGCCACCCTTGCGCCGTCTCCTATTCCTTCTCCTCCTGCTGCGCTTTCCACCTCGCTTAGATTTTCGGTTTCGCCTTTTCCCTCCTCTCTTAGACTTTCGGCCACCCTTGCGCCGTCTCCTATTCCTTCTCCTCTTGCTTCGCTTTCCACCTCGTTTAGATTTTCGGTTTCGCCTTTTCCCTCCTCTCTTAGACTTTCGGCCACCCTTGCGCCGTCTCCTATTCCTTCTCCTCTTGCTTCGCTTTCCACCTCGTTTAGATTTTCGGTTTCGCCTTTTCCCTCCTCTCTTAGACTTTCGGCCACCCTTACGACGTCTCTTATTCCTTCTCCTCTTGCTTCTCCTTCCACCTCGCTTAAATTTTCGGTTTCGCCTTTTTCCTCCTCTCTTGGACTTTCGGCCACCCTTACGACGTCTCCTATTCCTTCTCCTCTTGCTTCTCCTTCCACCTCGCTTAGATTTTCGGTTTCGCCTTTTCCCTCCTCTCTTAGACTTTCGGCCACCCTTACGCCGTCTCCTGTTCCTTCTCCTCTTGCTTCTCTTTCCACCTCGCTTAGATTTTCGGTTTCGCCTTTTCCCTCCTCTCTTAGACTTTCGGCCACCCTTGCGCCGTCTCCTGTTCCTTCTCCTCTTGCTTTGCCTTCCACCTCGCTTAGATTTTCGGTTTCGCCTTTTCCCTCCTCTCTTAGACTTTCGGCCACCCTTGCGCCGTCTCCTGTTCCTTCTCCTCTTGCTTCGCTTTCCACCTCGCTTAGATTTTCGGTTTCGCCTTTTCCCTCCTCTCTTAGACTTTCGGCCACCCTTACGACGTCTCCTGTTCCTTCTCCTGCTTCTCTTTCCACCTCGCTTAGTTTTTCGGTTTCGCCTTTTCCCTCCTCTCTTAGACTTTCGGCCACCCTTACGCCGTCTCCTGTTCCTTCTCCTCTTGCTTCGCTTTCCACCTCGCTTAGATTTTCGGTTTCGCCTTTTCCCTCCTCTCTTAGACTTTCGGCCACCCTTGCGCCGTCTCCTGTTCCTTCTTCTCTTGCTTCGCTTTCCACCTCGCTTAGATTTTCGGTTTCGCCTTTTCCCTCCTCTCTTAGACTTTCGGCCACCCTTACGACGTCTCCTGTTCCTTCTCCTCCTGCTGCGCTTTCCACCTCGCTTAGATTTTCGGTTTCGCCTTTTCCCTCCTCTCTTAGACTTTCGGCCACCCTTACGACGTCTCCTGTTCCTTCTCCTGCTTCTCTTTCCACCTCGCTTAGTTTTTCGGTTTCGCCTTTTCCCTCCTCTCTTAGACTTTCGGCCACCCTTACGCCGTCTCCTGTTCCTTCTCCTCTTTCTTCGCTTTCCACCTCGCTTAGATTTTCGGCTTCGCCTTTTCCCTCCTCTCCTAGACTTTCGGCCACCCTTGCGCCGTCTCCTGTTCCTTCTCCTCTTGCTTCGCTTTCCACCTCGCTTAGATTTTCGGTTTCGCCTTTTCCCTCCTCTCTTAGACTTTCGGCCACCCTTGCGCCGTCTCCTATTCCTTCTCCTCCTGCTGCGCTTTCCACCTCGCTTAGATTTTCGGTTTCGCCTTTTTCCTCCTCTCTTAGACTTTCGGCCACCCTTGCGCCGTCTCCTGTTCCTTCTCCTCTTGCTCCGCTTTCCACCTCGCTTAGATTTTCGGTTTCGCCTTTTCCCTCCTCTCTTAGACTTTCGGCCACCCTTACGCCGTCTCCTGTTCCTTCTCCTCCTTCTTCTCTTTCCACCTCGCTTAGATTTTCGGTTTCGCCTTTTCCCTCCTCTCTTAGACTTTCGGCCACCCTTACGACGTCTCCTGTTCCTTCTCCTCTTGCTTCTCCTTCCACCTCGCTTAGATTTTCGGTTTCGCCTTTTCCCTCCTCTCTTAGACTTTCGGCCACCCTTGCGCCGTCTCCTGTTCCTTCTCCTCTTGCTTCGCTTTCCACCTCGCTTAGATTTTCGGTTTCGCCTTTTCCCTCCTCTCTTAGACTTTCGGCCACCCTTGCGCCGTCTCCTGTTCCTTCTCCTCTTGCTTCTCTTTCCACCTCGCTTAGATTTTCGGTTTCGCCTTTTCCCTCCTCTCTTAGACTTTCGGCCACCCTTGCGCCGTCTCCTGTTCCTTCTCCTCCTGCTGCGCTTTCCACCTCGCTTAGATTTTCGGTTTCGCCTTTTCCCTCCTCTCTTAGACTTTCGGCCACCCTTGCGCCGTCTCCTGTTCCTTCTCCTCTTGCTTCGCTTTCCACCTCGCTTAGATTTTCGGTTTCGCCTTTTCCCTCCTCTCTTAGACTTTCGGCCACCCTTGCGCCGTCTCCTGTTCCTTCTTCTCTTGCTTCGCTTTCCACCTCGCTTAGATTTTCGGTTTCGCCTTTTCCCTCCTCTCTTAGACTTTCGGCCACCCTTACGACGTCTCCTGTTCCTTCTCCTCCTGCTGCGCTTTCCACCTCGCTTAGACTTTCGGTTTCGCCTTTTCCCTCCTCTCTTAGACTTTCGGCCACCATTACGACGTCTCCTGTTTCTTCTCCTCCTGCTGCGCTTTCCACCTCGCTTAGACTTTCGGTTTCGCCTTTTCCCTCCTCTCTTAGACTTTCGGCCACCCTTACGCCGTCTCCTGTTCCTTCTCCTCCTTCTTCTCTTTCCACCTCGCTTAGATTTTCGGTTTCGCCTTTTCCCTCCTCTCTTAGACTTTCGGCCACCCTTGCGCCGTCTCCTGTTCCTTCTCCTCTTGCTTCTCCTTCCACCTCGCTTAGATTTTCGGTTTCGCCTTTTCCCTCCTCTCCTAGACTTCCGGCCATCCTTGCGCCGTCTCCTGTTTCTTCTCCTCCTGCTTCTCTTTCCACCTCGCCGAGATGATCTTCTCTTAGACTTTACTTTCTTGCATATCATCTTACCAATGAAACAGTTTCGGTTCTTCTGCCGAGATTTAGCTGAAATGTAACAGTGCAGTATGTTACTGGTTCGTGAAGTTTCTTTTCATGTGGAGCAATATACCACTGGCTCTCGCATGTCTTGGTGACAGATGCGCATTTTTCTATTGCAGAAACATACATTGTCAAACACTGATATATATCAATAGTATATATTTGCATAACTCATTGCACGATTTTAATATTTTCTCAAATTACTCAAATATTCATAAATGATTTGCATCAAAGTAAGCTTTCATTTAACAACCAACCAGTGGCAACTTTTTTTTTTTTTAAATGACATGGTTACATACGATGAAAAGTTGCCTCGAGAGTTTTTGTGTTACAAAGCAGATTACGCACATGTCTTGATTTAAGCTGTCTTAATAACTCAGTTGTTTTATCTCTTACATATCATGAGTATGTTAATACTTACTTCAGTGGGGACAGTATCTGCTTCAAAAGACACGCTGTATGTTGAGCCACAAAAAAGACTAGACCATGGTAGAAGGTATGGTTTAATTACAAACAAGGCATACATTAATTAGGCAAAAAGCAAACGATATTCATGTCTGGCAAAATTCTCTACATGAAGCACCTTATGACCGTGCCACACCGATTTAATTGTTTAAATGTATTTATTTTCATTAAAACACTGTCAAAATCAAGATTATTAGTGAATACATTTTAGATTGACATAATGTTAATAGAAGAGACGGGTAATGTGAGTAAAGTCAACCCTTCCGAATGCTCGCTGGTATGTGTGCGTTTAACTGTTCTCAGACAGTTTTGTTTGTTTTTTAAATCTAGATTATCAAATCTTAACTCTGATACGGGAAGCTGGTTAGTGTGCTTCTAATACGCTAGGTACTCTTTCTGACTACGCCGCGAAAATTCTCACTTTGATAGAGAGATCTGTAGAATTTAACATTTTGAAATTGTTTAACCACACACGGGTGAAACGTACATCTATAAGACAGTATCATGTGCTTGATCTGGAACAAATAGATGAAAAATGGTGCACGTTTAAGCATTCACTCACTGATGAAATGAGGTAACAACGCAGTGACGTCATAAGGAACGTTCGGCCTTATGTAAGGCAATAAACGTCGTAAAATATAAATATAACCGTGTTTTGTCTGATATATAACGCCGCGTTGCTTTGATGATTTGACGTTTAGCCACTGATTAGTTTTGGCAATGGATTCACTGCAACCTTTTTGTCGCTAAAACCCCCGATACACGCGTGATACTTTGAGTTGCGCGTTGTACCCAAAATTATGCATCCTTTAGCATCATTTACTTGTAGATTGCAATAGATGGCTGTCCTTTTTTCAATTACCTTTACGCTTACGCGAATGTTACCTAGTTATGAGTGAGTGAATGAGAGAGTGAGCATGGCTGAACGCCGCTTTTGGTAATATTGCGACAATATCACGGCGTAGCGAGTGAACGCTTTAACCACTTGGCTTCACCACAGTCTCTCGTTGTTCTGTACAATTGTTAACATTAATATATCATTAATGAAAAATGAATTGTTGCAACTTTGATGAAAATAAAGGAAACCAGCTGCGCTTTTTAATGAATGTACCCAAATACTGTAAAAAGATATATCAAATGTAACAATGTAGTGTCGTTCGTCAGTTTTGATTTGTTATAAAAATACATACTATTACAAAGATTCATTTGAAATTTACATCATATTTAGCAAATTCGAATTATGTCGTAAAACCATTTAAAATATTAACATACATATCTTAAATCAAACACCACATTGGTACATTGATACAGTTATGAGAAGAAAAATACTAACAAATTAAATGTTATAGGATTTGAAAAAGAAAAAATCGAATCATTATTCTCTAATTGTTCTTGATTTAAAAAAAAATTCATATATAAGCAGGGTCAAAATATACTTTGAATGACAAATACACACAAAACTTACGCTGTTCATAACAATCATATGTCACATGTACAATATGTTAATGGCGTAATTGTTATTTGAACTCATCCTTATGTGAACGATGTTACGTCAACAAGACAAAAAAAACCAAAAAAACTGATCCAAACACCTGAATATATATATATAGAAGAAATAAACATGAGGTACCCGGAAAACCCGCAAAAATCAATGAGCTCACATCTCTTGCACAGTTTAAACACGGCTCCACATCCTTTCCGCACAACAAGCAAAACTCTGTTCCGTCTGATCCAATGTCTGAATGTCTTTCCTCTTTTGCATTTTTTACCGGAATTCTTTTTGGCAATCCTGAGGGTGACCCTTCTTCTTCCATTTCGTCTAATGAACGAGCGGATCTCTTTCCCAGAAAGCTTGCATTTTCTTTTCCCGTTTTTCTTGCTGACACACTTGACTGTAGTTTTAGCACATCTGCGACCTATTTAATAGGATTGTATAATCAGGAACATATTTAGTATGAATTTGCTTCTTGGTAATCAGTTATTTTGTATGTTTGTATTGTATAAGTGAGCAAGGTACCTCGAACTATACAGGATACTAACTAGTCGTAGCATCATAACATCACCAATGTATGCTATTTTGAACATATAGGTAGATTATTTCATTGAATATACTCTTAATTCCAAGGTAAAACAGTGTGTGCAATTCCATGAAATGACAAAATTGTCAACAGTTTTGGTGAGGGAGGGAGTTTGTTAAACGTCGCGTTGTAGTTAAGTATTCCAGTTATATCATTTATGTGATGTGTTAGTTTGATGTGGGAGGAATACCAGAAGTAATGCATGTCTTTGACGTTTGCCATTTTGGTAAATCCCGTGCCTACTTATTAACAGAAGGTAACACAAATTATCAGTAATACTTACTATGAAAGAAGAACATTAGATTAAATCAACCATCAATTACGATTACTATTGGTATGATGGTTAATTTTCAGGATTTCTACCATGCATCGCTTCGTTTGCAATTGTAAATACAATTAAGTATATATATATATATATATATATATATATATATATATATATATATATATATATATATATGTATATGTATATATATATATATATATACATACATACATACATACATACATACATACATACATATATATATATATATATATATATATATATATATATATATATATATATATATAAAATCATCTTCGAAATTTGATTCTTGCTTCTTGCCAATTTTTTAAAACAAAAATTAAAAGAGTAGAATGTCTTTTAAATCAGACCTGACAGCTTAATTTCAACGAGATCTATTTTAAACTAAACAATCTCAATGTATACGATTTTTGCTGAAACGCTTAGGAAATACTCAAACGGTCCACCCTTACTGAAATTGCTTGAACGTAAAGTAGCTTTTATACATTTTGAGTATCATTTTGTTGATCTTACCAGATCGTTTCCCTCCTTTTCTTCCTCGTTTTCCATTTCTCCTTCTCTTCCCACTACCTCGGCGGCGACCACCTCGGCGTCGATCTCTCTTTCCTTTACGTCTCTTTCCTCCACTTCGTTTGCGTCCTCTTCCTTTTCCACCTCTACCCTTTCTTCTCCGTTTGCCCCCACTTCGTTTGCTTCCTTTCCCTTTCCTTTTTCTTCTTCCACCTCTACCCTTTCTTCTCCTTTTCCCCCCACTTCGTTTGCTTCCTTTTCCTTTCCTTTTTCTTTTTCCACCTCTACCCTTTCTTCTCCGTTTGCCTCCACTACCTCGTTTACGGCTACCACTTCGACGTCGATCTCTCTTTGTTTTAGGTCTCTTTCCTCCTCTTCGCGCTTTTTTTTTACCGCTCAGTTTGCTTCCTTTTCCTTTTCGTCTTCTTTTTCTACTTTTACCTTTCGCGCTCCGTTTACCACCTTTTCCTATTCGATAAATGGTGATTATTAGAAGACATAGACGATCTATTTGTAGAGACGATTGATTTTAATATCATTTGTGTGCACAAAGGATCAGAATATGACACAAAAAAACCAATACGATCATGTCCCAATAGACAAGGTATGATATTTGGCTCAACACTATATCATTATGTAACTTTTCAGATGTGTTAATATAAAATAATAATCATACTTTGTTCACTTTACAAATTAGAAAGTGGCTTACCCCTGATGATGATGTTTGTTAATTTTCTGTTTACTTCAATCATCATTTGTACATGATAACCGGATGTTATGAGTTGCCAGTACAGTAAATATATCATATTTATTTTAAGATTACACTAAACCGCCAAAGCGAGATTTTTAAATTTTGAATATGAACTGATTCATATATTGAGAACAAACACTGAGGTGGTAATTGGACAGTCGTATCATTTCGAATTATCTCGAGTGAAAAAAAGAGGAAGAAAAATGATGTTAAAACATTTCATAAATCCAAGATAAGAATCAAAAGGACACAGTGGTTTAACCAGGCTGAAATGACCAAAGACAATCGATATAGAACAATACAAAGGAAAACCTATGTAGTGACCACATGCAAAGAATCATGCATACGAACAAGTATCAATTTTGCATCAACCTTCCACCACAAGACAATATACCCATTAACAACAATGTGAACTTGGTATTAACGGATAACGCTCTGTACTTCTCCAGTTGATCGTTCTGCCATACAGTATTCGACGTATGAGCGACCCGTCTCAATAAAAGCCAAAATCATGTTTTAATAACAAAATTCAAATGTCATGTGTTGAGACAACACTAGTTTTCAATTCTGTAATGCAAATTGGGCGTCTTGTACGTTGAATACGGTAATTGAAAAGGAAATAGAAAAGAGCACGGGGAGTAAGGGTGCGCATGTGTTGATGCGCAAAAGAGATATAAGAAAATGTAGTGTTTCTTCAGAATGTTATTGCATCTTAATATAGATAAGAAATGAGTACGACATGCAAATCCGTACATAACCGGTACCAAGATTACAATGCTACTTACTTCTCGAATCTGTGATGTGTTAAAATAATGATGTATTGTCAATAAGCATAACTTGATATTCATGTTTGTCGTTTTAAAAACAATAATATTATTAACATAAATGTTGTAGATAATCTCTATCCTGGCAAGTCCACGAAACTGTTCAATGGTTCCACTGCAAATTACAAACTGGGATTAAGATACAAAACATTTTGCAAGCGCCTTGCAGGACCTGAAAGCGGAATTGGATGTTTAAAACAGTCTGAAACCTCTTCTACCGCTTTGGACCTCTTTGGATACCTTCCCCAACTCACGAAGCCACACGACATTGACAGGCGCCCTCACTACAATACCCGACACCATGTTCTTGTGCTACTGTCAGATAGTCCTTGCTTAAAATAATATCTGCTGATATGTTTCACATTGTCTTATTTGGTTAATATTAAATCAAAGTTCTTCACATCATTATTATCAAATTGGAGATGCATTCTTCACACATACATGCCTACGCCGTGTATCTAATGCCACGTTCGTTTCCTTATAAGGTTTCCTTACTTTACTTTAATATACTTTAACCGGTACTCATCTTTCAAATGTATCTATGACTAGTGCTTTCTCCTCTGATATTATGAACAAGGTTCTCATTTATAAGAGACAAAAAATCTAATTTATGGTGAAATATGGAAACTTACTGGTTCGAAAGCCAAAACGCGCTCAAACTTGATGACAGTGATAGTGATTAAGTGTATTTAATACCTATATGGCAAAGTCAATTCATTTAGGTATATTAGAGAGTGACAATGATACCAATAGTTGAAATTATCATGTAGTTCTATTTCATATTGAAGATAATCATTTAAGAAATAAGTAATCATTTAAACTCACGAGTAGGTGAAATTATACATATCCTAATTAAATATTATGGTATAAATCCAATTATATATTCTGTATAAATCAGCAAGGTTGAAATCTCTGTGCCTGAGATGGTGTATATTTTATTGTTTGCGCATGAGTAGTTATCTGAATCAGAAATGCAAGCAAACCGTTTTAAATAGTACAAATAGCAAACAGTAACACTTCATTCAAATGCTTTGTGAAAATAACACTTCTGGCTAGAAAGCTTAAAATGTACATTTCAACAAAAGATTGAAAATGACCAAATCAAATTTGCAGATATGTTTAAAAAGGTTTTCACACATACGGTTTGAAGATCTTCGTCCTGTAATGTAATGTTAAGAAGCAAATGTTTAACCTTCCGAATACTGACCACTACCTAATTTTGCAATTTACCCTTCCTCATTATTAATTATATTCTGCAGTTAATGCCATTTTCTTTACACTATCAACTAATAAATACTATTTTTTTAAATATATTTTTTATTACTGATGATATTCTTTTACACTTGAAACAAAGAACTTATACATCCACATTTCACACTTACTGGAATTGGATCGTCGTCCTGTAATGGAAAGTTAAGAAGCAACTATAATAACCTTCCTAATACTGACAATAACTCACATATACAAGACACAGTTCCTTTCATCGTTTCATTTTTGTTTGTATTCAAATAAGGAGTATGCTTTAGACATTTGTTTCCAATGATAAATAGTACAATTTTCTTTTATTTATTCATTCTGATCATGTAGACATATGAAAAAAAAGCGTACGTAGTATTACATATAAATTATATTTCAACTCTTTCGCGATGTCTTTGGAAAAGGTTATCACACTTGCATTTACAATATAATGGAAAAGACAATAGCGACAAATGCAAGCAGCAGTTGACCATTATTGGTGACATTCTACAGTTTATGGCCATTTCTTCACACTATCAAAAATGGAATACTGGCTTTTTAAAATACTATCTTGTACTTTCACACTTTAATATCATATATATTCTACAGTTTATACTGTCTTCTTTTCACCATCGACTATCAAATACTGGTTTCTCTAAACAAAAGTATGAAGGTAGGTATCCTTTTACAATTGAAACAAACAATGTACATGTTTTCTTTTAACACTCACTGGAGTTGGATCGTCGACCTGTAATGCAATGTTAAGAAACAACTGTTAAACCTTCATGATACTGACCATAATTCAACTAAACGTAAATCTGTTTCTTTCCTGGTTTTATATTAGGTTGTATTCAAATATTGAGAATATTTCTGATACTGGTTTCCTATACTCATCGTCCATTAATTTAAAACAAATTCTTAGCCTATAAGAGGCGAATGGAAAATAGTTCAAATTTATTATAATCTTCATTCTGATGATGTATCGATATTAAAAGATTGCAATGACTGTTGCTTATAAATAATATTTGACTTATTTCTTGATGTCCAAACGAAAAGGTTTTGTCATTGTTATATGCGATATTATGGCAATCACTATGGTGACAGTTAATTCTACAGTTAATGCCCCTTTACACTGTCAGAAAAAAGGGAATACTGGCCTCTTTAAATATTTTCTTGTATTAATGAAGACGTTTCTTTGATATTGATACAAAAAAAATTATATATTCTGTTTTCACACTTACGTGAAGAGGATCGCCTTCCTGTAATATAATTGTAAGGGGTAAATGTAATTATCATTATGTTAGTAGAACGTTTAAAGTTTGGATTCCTAAAATACAGGATCCTTATTTTACCAAGCTAAGAATGGAAGCATTTATTGAATCTGAAATTGATGGTTTTAAATGTTATTTGCAAAGAATCAATCCTTTATCTCTTGAAACAACAAGGTCAATAATAATATCTCTTATTGTTTGGTTCTCACACTTAGTGCTAGAAACATATGATCGCCGTCTTGTAAAGTAATAAAATAGTACATTAATCATGATCTAATGCAACAATAATCAGGCCATAAATGATACCTAATTGTATGAAGGAGTTTTAGATATTTGTGTTCTTTTTCATCTTCTTTTCACTGAAAAACATTCGTGATTAACACGATACAAGTGGGAAATAGATTAATCTTACAACAATATTCATTCTGTGCATGTATGGATATGAGAAGTTTGCATTGTCAAAAGATAAATTTAGTGTTGAATAAATATTACATTAAACTTTATTTATGCATAAACTCTCGGGCAAAAGAAACTATACACCCATGTTTGATGGTAAGTAAAACTGGACAAACAAGAAATGGTTATTCGATGGGAACGTATTTCGCACGGATGTCGTAGTTATGTTTTGGATCTTAAGTTTGTAGTGATTCGGCGACTGATTTAGCCTAAATACATTTTGATAACGATTGTTATTTTTTGATCAAATCAAACTTTCAAGAGTATATTTCTTGTTTGCCCGGCAATATCTTACAATCTTAATGAAATGACAAAAGCATGTTTAATGCAACATTCCCTTCATTATTATAAGCTATATTGCGCCGTTAATGTTGTTTACTTTGTACTTTCAATAATGGATTAGTGGTTTCCTAAATATTGGTTCTTTATTTAGGCAAATATCCTTTGACACTTCAAACCAAAATATATACACCCTCTTTTAACACTCACTGGAGCTGGATCGTCGACCTGTAATGCAATGTTAAGAAACAACTGTTAAACCTTCATGATACTGGCCATAATTCAACTAAACGTAAAACAGTTCCTTTCCTGGTTTTATGTTAGGCTGTATTCAAATATGGAGAATGTTTCTGATACTGGTTTCCTAAATTCATCATCCACTAAAATGAAACAAATTCTTAGCCTATAAGAGACAAATGGAAAATAGTTTAAATGTATTATAATCTTCATTCTGATGATGTGACGATATTAAAAGATTGCAATTAGTGTTACACATAAATAATATTTGACTAATTTCTAGATGTCTACCCGAAAAGGTGTTGTCACTGTTATATACGATATTATGAATATGACAAGAGTGATAAGTGCAAACGATGCTTTACCATTATAAGTTATATTCTACAGTTAATGCCCCTTTTCTTTACACTATCAAAAATGGAACACTGGTTTTCCTACATATTGTCTTGTATTGAGGACGACATTTCTTTTAGTCTTGAAACAAAGAATTCATATATTCTGTTTTCACACTTACGTGAAGAGGAAACATATGATCGCCGTCCTGTAATAAAATTTGAAGTGGTAAATGTGATAATCTTCATAGTACTGACCATAATTTAACTATAGATGACACAGCTCCTTTCATTTACATATTATTTTGGTGGTGATTCATATGTTAATTGAAGGTTTAAAATTTGGATTCCAAAAACATAGGATGTATATTAGACCAAGCTAACAATGGGAGTATTTATGTTTTATGAAATTGATGGTTTTAAGTGATATTTGAAAAGATTTTATCCTTTATCTCTTGAAACAACAAGGTCAATAATATCTCTTATTGTTTGGTTCTCACACTTAGTGCTAGAAACATATGATCGCCGTCTTGTAAAGTAATAAAATAGAACATTAATCATGATCTAATGCAACAATAATCAGGCCATAAATGATACCTAATTGTATGAAGGAGTTTAGATATTTGTGTTCTTTTTCATCTTCTATTGACTAAAAAACATTCGTGATTAACACGATACAAGTGGGAAATAGATTAATCTTACAACAATATTCATTCTGTGCATGTATGGATATGAGAAGTTTGCATTGTCAAAAGATAAATTTAGTGTTGAATAAATATTACATTAAACTTTATTTATGCATAAACTCTCGGGCAAAAGAAACTATACACCCATGTTTGATGGTAAGTAAAACTGGACAAACAAGAAATGGTTATTCGATGGGAAAGTATTTCGCACGGGTGTCGTAGTTATGTTTTGGATCTTAAGTTTGTAGTGATTCGGCGACTGATTTAGCCTAAATACATTTGATAACGATTGTTATTTTTTGATCAAATCAAACTTTCAAGAGTATATTTCTTGTTTGCCCGGCAATATCTTACAATCTTAATGAAATGACAAAAGCATGTTTAATGCAACATTCCCTTCATTATTATAAGCTATATTGCGCCGTTAATGTTGTTTACTTTATACTTTCAATAATGGATTAGTGGTTTCCTAAATATTGGTTCTTTATTTAGGCAAATATCCTTTGACACTTCAAACCAAAATGTATACACCCTCTTTTAACACTCACTGGAGCTGGATCGTCGACCTGTAATGCAATGTTAAGAAACAACTGTTAAACCTTCATGATACTGGCCATAATTCAACTAAACGTAAAACAGTTCCTTTCCTGGTTTTATGTTAGGCTGTATTCAAATATGGAGAATGTTTCTGATACTGGTTTCCTAAATTCATCATCCACTAAAATGAAACAAATTCTTAGCCTATAAGAGACAAATGGAAAATAGTTTAAATGTATTATAATCTTCATTCTGATGATGTGACGATATTAAAAGATTGCAATTAGTGTTACACATAAATAATATTTGACTAATTTCTAGATGTCTACCCGAAAAGGTGTTGTCACTGTTATATACGATATTATGAAAATGACAAGAGTGACAAGTGCAAACGATGCTTTACCATTTTTAGTTATATTCTACAGTTAATGCCCCTTTTCTTTACACTATCAAAAATGGAATACTGGTTTTCCTACATATTGTCTTGTATTGAGGACGACATTTCTTTTAGTCTTGAAACAAAGAATTCATATATTCTGTTTTCACACTTACGTGAAGAGGAAACATTTGATCGCCGTCCTGTAATAAAATTTGAAGTGGTAAATGTGATAATCTTCATAGTACTGACCATAATTTAACTATAGATGACACAGCTCCTTTCATTTACATATTATTTTGGTGGTGATTCATATGTTAGTTGAAGGTTTAAAATTTGGATTCCTAAAACATAGGATGTATATTAGACCAAGCTAACAATGGGAGTATTTATGTTTTATGAAATTGATGGTTTTAAGTGATATTTGAAAAGATTTTATCCTTTATCTCTTGAAACAACAAGGTCAATAATATCTCTTATTGTTTGGTTCTCACACTTAGTGCTAGAAACATATGATCGCCGTCTTGTAAAGTAATAAAATAGAACATTAATCATGATCTAATGCAACAATAATCAGGCCATAAATGATACCTAATTGTATGAAGGAGTTTAGATATTTGTGTTCTTTTTCATCTTCTATTGACTAAAAAACATTCGTGATTAACACGATACAAGTGGGAAATTGATTAATCTTACAACAATATTCATTCTGTGCATGTATGGATATGAGAAGTTTGCATTGTCAAAAGATAAATTTAGTGTTGAATAAATATTACATTAAACTTTATTTATGCATAAACTCTCGGGCAAAAGAAACTATACACCCATGTTTGAGGGTAAGTAAAACTGGACAAACAAGAAATGGTTTTTCGATGGGAACGTATTTCGCACGGATGTCGTAGTTATGTTTTGGATCTTAAGTTTGTAGTGATTCGGCGACTGATTTAGCCTAAATACATTTTGATAACGATTGTTATTTTTTGATCAAATCAAACTTTCAAGAGTATATTTCTTGTTTGCCCGGCAATATCTTACAATCTTAATGAAATGACAAAAGCATGTTTAATGCAACATTCCCTTCATTATTATAAGCTATATTGCGCCGTTAATGTTGTTTACTTTATACTTTCAATAATGGATTAGTGGTTTCCTAAATACTGGTTCTTTATTTAGGCAAATATCCTTTGACACTTCAAACCAAAATATATACACCCTCTTTTAACACTCACTGGAGCTGGATCGTCGACCTGTAATGCAATGTTAAGAAACAACTGTTAAACCTTCATGATACTGGCCATAATTCAACTAAACGTAAAACAGTTCCTTTCCTGGTTTTATGTTAGGCTGTATTCAAATATGGAGAATGTTTCTGATACTGGTTTCCTAAATTCATCATCCACTAAAATGAAACAAATTCTTAGCCTATAAGAGACAAATGGAAAATAGTTTAAATGTATTATAATCTTCATTCTGATGATGTGACGATATTAAAAGATTGCAATTAGTGTTACACATAAATAATATTTGACTAATTTCTAGATGTCTACCCGAAAAGGTGTTGTCACTGTTATATACGATATTATGAAAATGACAAGAGTGACAAGTGCAAACGATGCTTTACCATTTTTAGTTATATTCTACAGTTAATGCCCCTTTTCTTTACACTATCAAAAATGGAATACTGGTTTTCCTACATATTGTCTTGTATTGAGGACGACATTTCTTTTAGTCTTGAAACAAAGAATTCATATATTCTGTTTTCACACTTACGTGAAGAGGAAACATTTGATCGCCGTCCTGTAATAAAATTTGAAGTGGTAAATGTGATAATCTTCATAGTACTGACCATAATTTAACTATAGATGACACAGCTCCTTTCATTTACATATTATTTTGGTGGTGATTCATATGTTAGTTGAAGGTTTAAAATTTGGATTCCTAAAACATAGGATGTATATTAGACCAAGCTAACAATGGGAGTATTTATGTTTTATGAAATTGATGGTTTTAAGTGATATTTGAAAATATTTTATCCTTTATCTCTTGAAACAACAAGGTCAATAATATCTCTTATTGTTTGGTTCTCACACTTAGTGCTAGAAACATATGATCGCCGTCTTGTAAAGTAATAAAATAGAACATTAATCATGATCTAATGCAACAATAATCAGGCCATAAATGATACCTAATTGTATGAAGGAGTTTAGATATTTGTGTCCTTTTTCATCTTCTATTGACTAAAAAACATTCGTGATTAACACGATACAAGTGGGAAATTGATTAATCTTACAACAATATTCATTCTGTGCATGTATGGATATGAGAAGTTTGCATTGTCAAAAGATAAATTTAGTGTTGAATAAATATTACATTAAACTTTATTTATGCATAAACTCTCGGGCAAAAGAAACTATACACCCATGTTTGAGGGTAAGTAAAACTGGACAAACAAGAAATGGTTTTTCGATGGGAACGTATTTCGCACGGATGTCGTAGTTATGTTTTGGATCTTAAGTTTGTAGTGATTCGGCGACTGATTTAGCCTAAATACATTTTGATAACGATTGTTATTTTTTGATCAAATCAAACTTTCAAGAGTATATTTCTTGTTTGCCCGGCAATATCTTACAATCTTAATGAAATGACAAAAGCATGTTTAATGCAACATTCCCTTCATTATTATAAGCTATATTGCGCCGTTAATGTTGTTTACTTTATACTTTCAATAATGGATTAGTGGTTTCCTAAATACTGGTTCTTTATTTAGGCAAATATCCTTTGACACTTCAAACCAAAATATATACACCCTCTTTTAACACTCACTGGAGCTGGATCGTCGACCTGTAATGCAATGTTAAGAAACAACTGTTAAACCTTCATGATACTGGCCATAATTCAACTAAACGTAAAACAGTTCCTTTCCTGGTTTTATGTTAGGCTGTATTCAAATATGGAGAATGTTTCTGATACTGGTTTCCTAAATTCATCATCCACTAAAATGAAACAAATTCTTAGCCTATAAGAGACAAATGGAAAATAGTTTAAATGTATTATAATCTTCATTCTGATGATGTGACGATATTAAAAGATTGCAATTAGTGTTACACATAAATAATATTTGACTAATTTCTAGATGTCTACCCGAAAAGGTGTTGTCACTGTTATATACGATATATGAAAATGACAAGAGTGACAAGTGCAAACGATGCTTTACCATTTTTAGTTATATTCTACAGTTAATGCCCCTTTTCTTTACACTATCAAAAATGGAATACTGGTTTTCCTACATATTGTCTTGTATTGAGGACGACATTTCTTTTAGTCTTGAAACAAAGAATTCATATATTCTGTTTTCACACTTACGTGAAGAGGAAACATTTGATCGCCGTCCTGTAATAAAATTTGAAGTGGTAAATGTGATATTCTTCATAGTACTGACCATAATTTAACTATAGATGACACAGCTCCTTTCATTTACATATTATTTTGGTGGTGATTCATATGTTAGTTGAAGGTTTAAAATTTGGATTCCTAAAACATAGGATGTATATTAGACCAAGCTAACAATGGGAGTATTTATGTTTTATGAAATTGATGGTTTTAAGTGATATTTGAAAAGATTTTATCCTTTATCTCTTGAAACAACAAGGTCAATAATATCTCTTATTGTTTGGTTCTCACACTTAGTGCTAGAAACATATGATCGCCGTCTTGTAAAGTAATAAAATAGAACATTAATCATGATCTAATGCAACAATAATCAGGCCATAAATGATACCTAATTGTATGAAGGAGTTTAGATATTTGTGTTCTTTTTCATCTTCTATTGACTAAAAAACATTCGTGATTAACACGATACAAGTGGGAAATTGATTAATCTTACAACAATATTCATTCTGTGCATGTATGGATATGAGAAGTTTGCATTGTCAAAAGATAAATTTAGTGTTGAATAAATATTACATTAAACTTTATTTATGCATAAACTCTCGGGCAAAAGAAACTATACACCCATGTTTGATGGTAAGTAAAACTGGACAAACAAGAAATGGTTTTTCGATGGGAACGTATTTCGCACGGATGTCGTAGTTATGTTTTGGATCTTAAGTTTGTAGTGATTCGGCGACTGATTTAGCCTAAATACATTTTGATAACGATTGTTATTTTTTGATCAAATCAAACTTTCAAGAGTATATTTCTTGTTTGCCCGGCAATATCTTACAATCTTAATGAAATGACAAAAGCATGTTTAATGCAACATTCCCTTCATTATTATAAGCTATATTGCGCCGTTAATGTTGTTTACTTTATACTTTCAATAATGGATTAGTGGTTTCCTAAATATTGGTTCTTTATTTAGGCAAATATCCTTTGACACTTCAAACCAAAATATATACACCCTCTTTTAACACTCACTGGAGCTGGATCGTCGACCTGTAATGCAATGTTAAGAAACAACTGTTAAACCTTCATGATACTGGCCATAATTCAACTAAACGTAAAACAGTTCCTTTCCTGGTTTTATGTTAGGCTGTATTCAAATATGGAGAATGTTTCTGATACTGGTTTCCTAAATTCATCATCCACTAAAATGAAACAAATTCTTAGCCTATAAGAGACAAATGGAAAATAGTTTAAATGTATTATAATCTTCATTCTGATGATGTGACGATATTAAAAGATTGCAATTAGTGTTACACATAAATAATATTTGACTAATTTCTAGATGTCTACCCGAAAAGGTGTTGTCACTGTTATATACGATATTATGAAAATGACAAGAGTGACAAGTGCAAACGATGCTTTACCATTTTTAGTTATATTCTACAGTTAATGCCCCTTTTCTTTACACTATCAAAAATGGAATACTGGTTTTCCTACATATTGTCTTGTATTGAGGACGACATTTCTTTTAGTCTTGAAACAAAGAATTCATATATTCTGTTTTCACACTTACGTGAAGAGGAAACATATGATCGCCGTCCTGTAATAAAATTTGAAGTGGTAAATGTGATAATCTTCATAGTACTGACCATAATTTAACTAAAGATGACACAGCTCCTTTCATGTATATACTATTTTGGTGGTGATTCATATGTTAGTTGAAGGTTTAAAATTTGGATTCCTAAAACATAGGATGTATATTAGACCAAGCTAACAATGGGAGTATTTATGTTTTATGAAATTGATGGTTTTAAGTGATATTTGAAAAGATTTTATCCTTTATCTCTTGAAACAACAAGGTCAATAATATCTCTTATTGTTTGGTTCTCACACTTAGTGCTAGAAACATATGATCGCCGTCTTGTAAAGTAATAAAAAAGAACATTAATCATGATCTAATGCAACAATAATCAGGCCATAAATGATACCTAATTGTATGAAGGAGTTTAGATATTTGTGTTCTTTTTCATCTTCTATTGACTAAAAAACATTCGTGATTAACACGATACAAGTGGGAAATAGATTAATCTTACAACAATATTCATTCTGTGCATGTATGGATATGAGAAGTTTGCATTGTCAAAAGATAAATTTAGTGTTGAATATATATTACATTAAACTTTATTTATGCATAAACTCTCGGGCAAAAGAAACTATACACCCATGTTTGATGGTAAGTAAAACTGGACAAACAAGAAATGGTTTTTCGATGGGAACGTATTTCGCACGGATGTCGTAGTTATGTTTTGGATCTTAAGTTTGTAGTGATTCGGCGACTGATTTAGCCTAAATACATTTTGATAACGATTGTTATTTTTTGATCAAATCAAACTTTCAAGAGTATATTTCTTGTTTGCCCGGCAATATCTTACAATCTTAATGAAATGACAAAAGCATGTTTAATGCAACATTCCCTTCATTATTATAAGCTATATTGCGCCGTTAATGTTGTTTACTTTATACTTTCAATAATGGATAAGTGGTTTCCTAAATATTGGTTCTTTATTTAGGCAAATATCCTTTGACACTTCAAACCAAAATATATACACCCTCTTTTAACACTCACTGGAGCTGGATCGTCGACCTGTAATGCAATGTTAAGAAACAACTGTTAAACCTTCATGATACTGGCCATAATTCAACTAAACGTAAAACAGTTCCTTTCCTGGTTTTATGTTAGGCTGTATTCAAATATGGAGAATGTTTCTGATACTGGTTTCCTAAATTCATCATCCACTAAAATGAAACAAATTCTTAGCCTATAAGAGACAAATGGAAAATAGTTTAAATGTATTATAATCTTCATTCTGATGATGTGACGATATTAAAAGATTGCAATTAGTGTTACACATAAATAATATTTGACTAATTTCTAGATGTCTACCCGAAAAGGTGTTGTCACTGTTATATACGATATTATGAAAATGACAAGAGTGACAAGTGCAAACGATGCTTTACCATTTTTAGTTATATTCTACAGTTAATGCCCCTTTTCTTTACACTATCAAAAATGGAATACTGGTTTTCCTACATATTGTCTTGTATTGAGGACGACATTTCTTTTAGTCTTGAAACAAAGAATTCATATATTCTGTTTTCACACTTACGTGAAGAGGAAACATATGATCGCCGTCCTGTAATAAAATTTGAAGTGGTAAATGTGATAATCTTCATAGTACTGACCATAATTTAACTAAAGATGACACAGCTCCTTTCATGTATATACTATTTTGGTGGTGATTCATATGTTAGTTGAAGGTTTAAAATTTGGATTCCTAAAACATAGGATGTATATTAGACCAAGCTAACAATGGGAGTATTTATGTTTTATGAAATTGATGGTTTTAAGTGATATTTGAAAAGATTTTATCCTTTATCTCTTGAAACAACAAGGTCAATAATATCTCTTATTGTTTGGTTCTCACACTTAGTGCTAGAAACATATGATCGCCGTCTTGTAAAGTAATAAAAAAGAACATTAATCATGATCTAATGCAACAATAATCAGGCCATAAATGATACCTAATTGTATGAAGGAGTTTAGATATTTGTGTTCTTTTTCATCTTCTATTGACTAAAAAACATTCGTGATTAACACGATACAAGTGGGAAATAGATTAATCTTACAACAATATTCATTCTGTGCATGTATGGATATGAGAAGTTTGCATTGTCAAAAGATAAATTTAGTGTTGAATATATATTACATTAAACTTTATTTATGCATAAACTCTCGGGCAAAAGAAACTATACACCCATGTTTGATGGTAAGTAAAACTGGACAAACAAGAAATGGTTATTCGATGGGAAAGTATTTCGCACGGGTGTCGTAGTTATGTTTTGGATCTTAAGTTTGTAGTGATTCGGCGACTGATTTAGCCTAAATACATTTTGATAACGATTGTTATTTTTTGATCAAATCAAACTTTCAAGAGTATATTTCTTGTTTGCCCGGCAATATCTTACAATCTTAATGAAATGACAAAAGCATGTTTAATGCAACATTCCCTTCATTATTATAAGCTATATTGCGCCGTTAATGTTGTTTACTTTATACTTTCAATAATGGATTAGTGGTTTCCTAAATATTGGTTCTTTATTTAGGCAAATATCCTTTGACACTTCAAACCAAAATGTATACACCCTCTTTTAACACTCACTGGAGCTGGATCGTCGACCTGTAATGCAATGTTAAGAAACAACTGTTAAACCTTCATGATACTGGCCATAATTCAACTAAACGTAAAACAGTTCCTTTCCTGGTTTTATGTTAGGCTGTATTCAAATATGGAGAATGTTTCTGATACTGGTTTCCTAAATTCATCATCCACTAAAATGAAACAAATTCTTAGCCTATAAGAGACAAATGGAAAATAGTTTAAATGTATTATAATCTTCATTCTGATGATGTGACGATATTAAAAGATTGCAATTAGTGTTACACATAAATAATATTTGACTAATTTCTAGATGTCTACCCGAAAAGGTGTTGTCACTGTTATATACGATATTATGAAAATGACAAGAGTGACAAGTGCAAACGATGCTTTACCATTTTTAGTTATATTCTACAGTTAATGCCCCTTTTCTTTACACTATCAAAAATGGAATACTGGTTTTCCTACATATTGTCTTGTATTGAGGACGACATTTCTTTTAGTCTTGAAACAAAGAATTCATATATTCTGTTTTCACACTTACGTGAAGAGGAAACATATGATCGCCGTCCTGTAATAAAATTTGAAGTGGTAAATGTGATAATCTTCATAGTACTGACCATAATTTAACTATAGATGACACAGCTCCTTTCATGTATATACTATTTTGGTGGTGATTCATATGTTAGTTGAAGGTTTAAAATTTGGATTCCTAAAACATAGGATGTATATTAGACCAAGCTAACAATGGGAGTATTTATGTTTTATGAAATTGATGGTTTTAAGTGATATTTGAAAAGATTTTATCCTTTATCTCTTGAAACAACAAGGTCAATAATATCTCTTATTGTTTGGTTCTCACACTTAGTGCTAGAAACATATGATCGCCGTCTTGTAAAGTAATAAAATAGAACATTAATCATGATCTAATGCAACAATAATCAGGCCATAAATGATACCTAATTGTATGAAGGAGTTTAGATATTTGTGTTCTTTTTCATCTTCTATTGACTAAAAAACATTCGTGATTAACACGATACAAGTGGGAAATTGATTAATCTTACAATATTCATTCTGTGCATGTATGGATATGAGAAGTTTGCATTGTCAAAAGATAAATTTAGTGTTGAATATATATTACATTAAACTTTATTTATGCATAAACTCTCGGGCAAAAGAAACTATACACCCATGTTTGATGGTAAGTAAAACTGGACAAACAAGAAATGGTTATTCGATGGGAACGTATTTCGCACGGATGTCGTAGTTATGTTTTGGATCTTAAGTTTGTAGTGATTCGGCGACTGATTTAGCCTAAATACATTTTGATAACGATTGTTATTTTTTGATCAAATCAAACTTTTAAGAGTATATTTCTTCTTTGCCCGGCAATATCTTACAATCTTAATGAAATGACAAAAGCATGTTTAATGCAACATTCCCTTCATTATTATAAGCTATATTGCGCCGTTAATGTTGTTTACTTTATACTTTCAATAATGGATTAGTGGTTTCCTAAATATTGGTTCTTTATTTAGGCAAATATCCTTTGACACTTCAAACCAAAATATATACACCCTCTTTTAACACTCACTGGAGCTGGATCGTCGACCTGTAATGCAATGTTAAGAAACAACTGTTAAACCTTCATGATACTGGCCATAATTCAACTAAACGTAAAACAGTTCCTTTCCTGGTTTTATGTTAGGCTGTATTCAAATATGGAGAATGTTTCTGATACTGGTTTCCTAAATTCATCATCCACTAAAATGAAACAAATTCTTAGCCTATAAGAGACAAATGGAAAATAGTTTAAATGTATTATAATCTTCATTCTGATGATGTGACGATATCAAAAGATTGCAATTAGTGTTACACATAAATAATATTTGACTAATTTCTAGATGTCTACCCGAAAAGGTGTTGTCACTGTTATATACGATATTATGAAAATGACAAGAGTGACAAGTGCAAACGATGCTTTACCATTTTTAGTTATATTCTACAGTTAATGCCCCTTTTCTTTACACTATCAAAAATGGAATACTGGTTTTCCTACATATTGTCTTGTATTGAGGACGACATTTCTTTTAGTCTTGAAACAAAGAATTCATATATTCTGTTTTCACACTTACGTGAAGAGGAAACATATGATCGCCGTCCTGTAATAAAATTTGAAGTGGTAAATGTGATAATCTTCATAGTACTGACCATAATTTAACTATAGATGACACAGCTCCTTTCATGTATATACTATTTTGGTGGTGATTCATATGTTAGTTGAAGGTTTAAAATTTGGATTCCTAAAACATAGGATGTATATTAGACCAAGCTAACAATGGGAGTATTTATGTTTTATGAAATTGATGGTTTTAAGTGATATTTGAAAAGATTTTATCCTTTATCTCTTGAAACAACAAGGTCAATAATATCTCTTATTGTTTGGTTCTCACACTTAGTGCTAGAAACATATGATCGCCGTCTTGTAAAGTAATAAAATAGAACATTAATCATGATCTAATGCAACAATAATCAGGCCATAAATGATACCTAATTGTATGAAGGAGTTTAGATATTTGTGTTCTTTTTCATCTTCTATTGACTAAAAAACATTCGTGATTAACACGATACAAGTGGGAAATTGATTAATCTTACAATATTCATTCTGTGCATGTATGGATATGAGAAGTTTGCATTGTCAAAAGATAAATTTAGTGTTGAATATATATTACATTAAACTTTATTTATGCATAAACTCTCGGGCAAAAGAAACTATACACCCATGTTTGATGGTAAGTAAAACTGGACAAACAAGAAATGGTTATTCGATGGGAACGTATTTCGCACGGATGTCGTAGTTATGTTTTGGATCTTAAGTTTGTAGTGATTCGGCGACTGATTTAGCCTAAATACATTTTGATAACGATTGTTATTTTTTGATCAAATCAAACTTTTAAGAGTATATTTCTTCTTTGCCCGGCAATATCTTACAATCTTAATGAAATGACAAAAGCATGTTTAATGCAACATTCCCTTCATTATTATAAGCTATATTGCGCCGTTAATGTTGTTTACTTTATACTTTCAATAATGGATTAGTGGTTTCCTAAATATTGGTTCTTTATTTAGGCAAATATCCTTTGACACTTCAAACCAAAATATATACACCCTCTTTTAACACTCACTGGAGCTGGATCGTCGACCTGTAATGCAATGTTAAGAAACAACTGTTAAACCTTCATGATACTGGCCATAATTCAACTAAACGTAAAACAGTTCCTTTCCTGGTTTTATGTTAGGCTGTATTCAAATATGGAGAATGTTTCTGATACTGGTTTCCTAAATTCATCATCCACTAAAATGAAACAAATTCTTAGCCTATAAGAGACAAATGGAAAATAGTTTAAATGTATTATAATCTTCATTCTGATGATGTGACGATATCAAAAGATTGCAATTAGTGTTACACATAAATAATATTTGACTAATTTCTAGATGTCTACCCGAAAAGGTGTTGTCACTGTTATATACGATATTATGAAAATGACAAGAGTGACAAGTGCAAACGATGCTTTACCATTTTTAGTTATATTCTACAGTTAATGCCCCTTTTCTTTACACTATCAAAAATGGAATACTGGTTTTCCTACATATTGTCTTGTATTGAGGACGACATTTCTTTTAGTCTTGAAACAAAGAATTCATATATTCTGTTTTCACACTTACGTGAAGAGGAAACATATGATCGCCGTCCTGTAATAAAATTTGAAGTGGTAAATGTGATAATCTTCATAGTACTGACCATAATTTAACTATAGATGACACAGCTCCTTTCATGTATATACTATTTTGGTGGTGATTCATATGTTAGTTGAAGGTTTAAAATTTGGATTCCTAAAACATAGGATGTATATTAGACCAAGCTAACAATGGGAGTATTTATGTTTTATGAAATTGATGGTTTTAAGTGATATTTGAAAAGATTTTATCCTTTATCTCTTGAAACAACAAGGTCAATAATATCTCTTATTGTTTGGTTCTCACACTTAGTGCTAGAAACATATGATCGCCGTCTTGTAAAGTAATAAAATAGAACATTAATCATGATCTAATGCAACAATAATCAGGCCATAAATGATACCTAATTGTATGAAGGAGTTTAGATATTTGTGTTCTTTTTCATCTTCTATTGACTAAAAAACATTCGTGATTAACACGATACAAGTGGGAAATAGATTAATCTTACAACAATATTCATTCTGTGCATGTATGGATATGAGAAGTTTGCATTGTCAAAAGATAAATTTAGTGTTGAATATATATTACATTAAACTTTATTTATGCATAAACTCTCGGGCAAAAGAAACTATACACCCATGTTTGATGGTAAGTAAAACTGGACAAACAAGAAATGGTTATTCGATGGGAACGTATTTCGCACGGATGTCGTAGTTATGTTTTGGATCTTAAGTTTGTAGTGATTCGGCGACTGATTTAGCCTAAATACATTTTGATAACGATTGTTATTTTTTGATCAAATCAAACTTTCAAGAGTATATTTCTTGTTTGCCCGGCAATATCTTACAATCTTAATGAAATGACAAAAGCATGTTTAATGCAACATTCCCTTCATTATTATAAGCTATATTGCGCCGTTAATGTTGTTTACTTTATACTTTCAATAATGGATTAGTGGTTTCCTAAATATTGGTTCTTTATTTAGGCAAATATCCTTTGACACTTCAAACCAAAATATATACACCCTCTTTTAACACTCACTGGAGCTGGATCGTCGACCTGTAATGCAATGTTAAGAAACAACTGTTAAACCTTCATGATACTGGCCATAATTCAACTAAACGTAAAACAGTTCCTTTCCTGGTTTTATGTTAGTCTGTATTCAAATATGGAGAATGTTTCTGATACTGGTTTCCTAAATTCATCATCCACTAAAATGAAACAAATTCTTAGCCTATAAGAGACAAATGGAAAATAGTTTAAATGTATTATAATCTTCATTCTGATGATGTGACGATATTAAAAGATTGCAATTAGTGTTACACATAAATAATATTTGACTAATTTCTAGATGTCTACCCGAAAAGGTGTTGTCACTGTTATATACGATATTATGAAAATGACAAGAGTGACAAGTGCAAACGATGCTTTACCATTTTTAGTTATATTCTACAGTTAATGCCCCTTTTCTTTACACTATCAAAAATGGAATACTGGTTTTCCTACATATTGTCTTGTATTGAGGACGACATTTCTTTTAGTCTTGAAACAAAGAATTCATATATTCTGTTTTCACACTTACGTGAAGAGGAAACATATGATCGCCGTCCTGTAATGAAATTTGAAGTGGTAAATGTGATAATCTTCATAGTACTGACCATAATTTAACTATAGATGACACAGCTCCTTTCATGTATATACTATTTTGGTGGTGATTCATATGTTAGTTGAAGGTTTAAAATTTGGATTCCTAAAACATAGGATGTATATTAGACCAAGCTAACAATGGGAGTATTTATGTTTTATGAAATTGATGGTTTTAAGTGATATTTGAAAAGATTTTATCCTTTATCTCTTGAAACAACAAGGTCAATAATATCTCTTATTGTTTGGTTCTCACACTTAGTGCTAGAAACATATGATCGCCGTCTTGTAAAGTAATAAAATAGAACATTAATCATGATCTAATGCAACAATAATCAGGCCATAAATGATACCTAATTGTATGAAGGAGTTTAGATATTTGTGTTCTTTTTCATCTTCTATTGACTAAAAAACATTCGTGATTAACACGATACAAGTGGGAAATAGATTAATCTTACAACAATATTCATTCTGTGCATGTATGGATATGAGAAGTTTGCATTGTCAAAAGATAAATTTAGTGTTGAATATATATTACATTAAACTTTATTTATGCATAAACTCTCGGGCAAAAGAAACTATACACCCATGTTTGATGGTAAGTAAAACTGGACAAACAAGAAATGGTTATTCGATGGGAAAGTATTTCGCACGGGTGTCGTAGTTATGTTTTGGATCTTAAGTTTGTAGTGATTCGGCGACTGATTTAGCCTAAATACATTTTGATAACGATTGTTATTTTTTGATCAAATCAAACTTTCAAGAGTATATTTCTTGTTTGCCCGGCAATATCTTACAATCTTAATGAAATGACAAAAGCATGTTTAATGCAACATTCCCTTCATTATTATAAGCTATATTGCGCCGCTAATGTTGTTTACTTTATACTTTCAATAATGGATTAGTGGTTTCCTAAATATTGGTTCTTTATTTAGGCAAATATCCTTTGACACTTCAAACCAAAATATATACACCCTCTTTTAACACTCACTGGAGCTGGATCGTCGACCTGTAATGCAATGTTAAGAAACAACTGTTAAACCTTCATGATACTGGCCATAATTCAACTAAACGTAAAACAGTTCCTTTCCTGGTTTTATGTTAGTCTGTATTCAAATATGGAGAATGTTTCTGATACTGGTTTCCTAAATTCATCATCCACTAAAATGAAACAAATTCTTAGCCTATAAGAGACAAATGGAAAATAGTTTAAATGTATTATAATCTTCATTCTGATGATGTGACGATATTAAAAGATTGCAATTAGTGTTACACATAAATAATATTTGACTAATTTCTAGATGTCTACCCGAAAAGGTGTTGTCACTGTTATATACGATATTATGAAAATGACAAGAGTGACAAGTGCAAACGATGCTTTACCATTTTTAGTTATATTCTACAGTTAATGCCCCTTTTCTTTACACTATCAAAAATGGAATACTGGTTTTCCTACATATTGTCTTGTATTGAGGACGACATTTCTTTTAGTCTTGAAACAAAGAATTCATATATTCTGTTTTCACACTTACGTGAAGAGGAAACATATGATCGCCGTCCTGTAATAAAATTTGAAGTGGTAAATGTGATAATCTTCATAGTACTGACCATAATTTAACTATAGATGACACAGCTCCTTTCATTTACATATTATTTTGGTGGTGATTCATATGTTAATTGAAGGTTTAAAATTTGGATTCCTAAAACATAGGATGTATATTAGACCAAGCTAACAATGGGAGTATTTATGTTTTATGAAATTGATGGTTTTAAGTGATATTTGAAAAGATTTTATCCTTTATCTCTTGAAACAACAAGGTCAATAATATCTCTTATTGTTTGGTTCTCACACTTAGTGCTAGAAACATATGATCGCCGTCTTGTAAAGTAATAAAATAGAACATTAATCATGATCTAATGCAACAATAATCAGGCCATAAATGATACCTAATTGTATGAAGGAGTTTGAGATGTTTGTGTTCTTTTTCATCTTCTATTGACTAAAAAACATTCGTGATTAACACGATACAAGTGGGAAATAGATTAATCTTACAACAATATTCATTCTGTGCATGTATGGATATGAGAAGTTTGCATTGTCAAAAGATAAATTTAGTGTTGAATATATATTACATTAAACTTTATTTATGCATAAACTCTCGGGCAAAAGAAACTATACACCCATGTTTGATGGTAAGTAAAACTGGACAAACAAGAAATGGTTATTCGATGGGAACGTATTTCGCACGGGTGTCGTAGTTATGTTTTGGATCTTAAGTTTGTAGTGATTCGGCGACTGATTTAGCCTAAATACATTTTGATAACGATTGTTATTTTTTGATCAAATCAAACTTTCAAGAGTATATTTCTTGTTTGCCCGGCAATATCTTACAATCTTAATGAAATGACAAAAGCATGTTTAATGCAACATTCCCTTCATTATTATAAGCTATATTGCGCCGTTAATGTTGTTTACTTTATACTTTCAATAATGGATTAGTGGTTTCCTAAATATTGGTTCTTTATTTAGGCAAATATCCTTTGACACTTCAAACCAAAATATATACACCCTCTTTTAACACTCACTGGAGCTGGAACGTCGACCTGTAATGCAATGTTAAGAAACAACTGTTAAACCTTCATGATACTGGCCATAATTCAACTAAACGTAAAACAGTTCCTTTCCTAGTTTTATGTTAGTCTGTATTCAAATATGGAGAATGTTTCTGATACTGGTTTCCTAAATTCATCATCCACTAAAATGAAACAAATTCTTAGCCTATAAGAGACAAATGGAAAATAGTTTAAATGTATTATAATCTTCATTCTGATGATGTGACGATATTAAAAGATTGCAATTAGTGTTACACATAAATAATATTTGACTAATTTCTAGATGTCTACCCGAAAAGGTGTTGTCACTGTTATATACGATATTACGAAAATGACAAGAGTGACAAGTGCAAACGATGCTTTACCATTATTAATGATGTTCTACAGTTAACGCCCCTTTTCTTTACACTATCAAAAATGGAATAATGGTTTTCCTACATATTGTCTTATATTGAGGACGACATTTCTTTTAGTCTTGAAACAAAGAATTCATATATTCTGTTTTCACACTTACGTGAAGAGGAAACATATGATCGCCGTCCTGTAATAAAGTTTAAAGTGGTAAATGTGATAATCTTCATAGCACTGACCATAATTTTTATGTTAGGCTGTATACAAATATGGAGAATGTTTCTGATACTGGTTTCCTAAATTCATCATCCACTAAAATGAAACAAATTCTTAGCCTATAAGAGACTAATGGAAAATAGTTTAAATGTATTATAATCTTCATTCTGATGATGTGACGATATTAAAAGATAGCAATTAGTGTTACACATAAATAATATTTGACTAATTTCTAGATGTCTACCCGAAAAGGTGTTGTCACTGTTATATACGATATTATGAAAATGACAAGAGTGACAAGTGCAAACGATGCTTTACCATTTTTAGTTATATTCTACAGTTAATGCCCCTTTTCTTTACACTATCAAAAATGGAATACTGGTTTTCCTACATATTGTCTTGTATTGAGGACGACATTTCTTTTAGTCTTGAAACAAAGAATTCATATATTCTGTTTTCACACTTACGTGAAGAGGAAACATATGATCGCCGTCCTGTAATAAAATTTGAAGTGGTAAATGTGATAATCTTCATAGTACTGACCATAATTTAACTATAGATGACACAGCTCCTTTCATGTATATACTATTTTGGTGGTGATTCATATGTTAGTTGAAGGTTTAAAATTTGGATTCCTAAAACATAGGATGTATATTAGACCAAGCTAACAATGGGAGTATTTATGTTTTATGAAATTGATGGTTTTAAGTGATATTTGAAAAGATTTTATCCTTTATCTCTTGAAACAACAAGGTCAATAATATCTCTTATTGTTTGGTTCTCACACTTAGTGCTAGAAACATATGATCGCCGTCTTGTAAAGTAATAAAATAGAACATTAATCATGATCTAATGCAACAATAATCAGGCCATAAATGATACCTAATTGTATGAAGGAGTTTAGATATTTGTGTTCTTTTTCATCTTCTATTGACTAAAAAACATTCGTGATTAACACGATACAAGTGGGAAATAGATTAATCTTACAACAATATTCATTCTGTGCATGTATGGATATGAGAAGTTTGCATTGTCAAAAGATAAATTTAGTGTTGAATATATATTACATTAAACTTTATTTATGCATAAACTCTCGGGCAAAAGAAACTATACACCCATGTTTGATGGTAAGTAAAACTGGACAAACAAGAAATGGTTATTCGATGGGAAAGTATTTCGCACGGGTGTCGTAGTTATGTTTTGGATCTTAAGTTTGTAGTGATTCGGCGACTGATTTAGCCTAAATACATTTTGATAACGATTGTTATTTTTTGATCAAATCAAACTTTCAAGAGTATATTTCTTGTTTGCCCGGCAATATCTTACAATCTTAATGAAATGACAAAAGCATGTTTAATGCAACATTCCCTTCATTATTATAAGCTATATTGCGCCGCTAATGTTGTTTACTTTATACTTTCAATAATGGATTAGTGGTTTCCTAAATATTGGTTCTTTATTTAGGCAAATATCCTTTGACACTTCAAACCAAAATATATACACCCTCTTTTAACACTCACTGGAGCTGGATCGTCGACCTGTAATGCAATGTTAAGAAACAACTGTTAAACCTTCATGATACTGGCCATAATTCAACTAAACGTAAAACAGTTCCTTTCCTGGTTTTATGTTAGTCTGTATTCAAATATGGAGAATGTTTCTGATACTGGTTTCCTAAATTCATCATCCACTAAAATGAAACAAATTCTTAGCCTATAAGAGACAAATGGAAAATAGTTTAAATGTATTATAATCTTCATTCTGATGATGTGACGATATTAAAAGATTGCAATTAGTGTTACACATAAATAATATTTGACTAATTTCTAGATGTCTACCCGAAAAGGTGTTGTCACTGTTATATACGATATTATGAAAATGACAAGAGTGACAAGTGCAAACGATGCTTTACCATTTTTAGTTATATTCTACAGTTAATGCCCCTTTTCTTTACACTATCAAAAATGGAATACTGGTTTTCCTACATATTGTCTTGTATTGAGGACGACATTTCTTTTAGTCTTGAAACAAAGAATTCATATATTCTGTTTTCACACTTACGTGAAGAGGAAACATATGATCGCCGTCCTGTAATAAAATTTGAAGTGGTAAATGTGATAATCTTCATAGTACTGACCATAATTTAACTATAGATGACACAGCTCCTTTCATGTATATACTATTTTGGTGGTGATTCATATGTTAGTTGAAGGTTTAAAATTTGGATTCCTAAAACATAGGATGTATATTAGACCAAGCTAACAATGGGAGTATTTATGTTTTATGAAATTGATGGTTTTAAGTGATATTTGAAAAGATTTTATCCTTTATCTCTTGAAACAACAAGGTCAATAATATCTCTTATTGTTTGGTTCTCACACTTAGTGCTAGAAACATATGATCGCCGTCTTGTAAAGTAATAAAATAGAACATTAATCATGATCTAATGCAACAATAATCAGGCCATAAATGATACCTAATTGTATGAAGGAGTTTGAGATGTTTGTGTTCTTTTTCATCTTCTATTGACTAAAAAACATTCGTGATTAACACGATACAAGTGGGAAATAGATTAATCTGACAACAATATTCATTCTGTGCATGTATGGATATGAGAAGTTTGCATTGTCAAAAGATAAATTTAGTGTTGAATATATATTACATTAAACTTTATTTATGCATAAACTCTCGGGCAAAAGAAACTATACACCCATGTTTGATGGTAAGTAAAACTGGACAAACAAGAAATGGTTATTCGATGGGAACGTATTTCGCACGGGTGTCGTAGTTATGTTTTGGATCTTAAGTTTGTAGTGATTCGGCGACTGATTTAGCCTAAATACATTTTGATAACGATTGTTATTTTTTGATCAAATCAAACTTTCAAGAGTATATTTCTTGTTTGCCCGGCAATATCTTACAATCTTAATGAAATGGCAAAAGCATGTTTAATGCAACATTCCCTTCATTATTATAAGCTATATTGCGCCGTTAATGTTGTTTACTTTATACTTTCAATAATGGATTAGTGGTTTCCTAAATATTGGTTCTTTATTTAGGCAAATATCCTTTGACACTTCAAACCAAAATATATACACCCTCTTTTAACACTCACTGGAGCTGGAACGTCGACCTGTAATGCAATGTTAAGAAACAACTGTTAAACCTTCATGATACTGGCCATAATTCAACTAAACGTAAAACAGTTCCTTTCCTAGTTTTATGTTAGTCTGTATTCAAATATGGAGAATGTTTCTGATACTGGTTTCCTAAATTCATCATCCACTAAAATGAAACAAATTCTTAGCCTATAAGAGACAAATGGAAAATAGTTTAAATGTATTATAATCTTCATTCTGATGATGTGACGATATTAAAAGATTGCAATTAGTGTTACACATAAATAATATTTGACTAATTTCTAGATGTCTACCCGAAAAGGTGTTGTCACTGTTATATACGATATTACGAAAATGACAAGAGTGACAAGTGCAAACGATGCTTTACCATTATTAATGATGTTCTACAGTTAACGCCCCTTTTCTTTACACTATCAAAAATGGAATAATGGTTTTCCTACATATTGTCTTATATTGAGGACGACATTTCTTTTAGTCTTGAAACAAAGAATTCATATATTCTGTTTTCACACTTACGTGAAGAGGAAACATATGATCGCCGTCCTGTAATAAAGTTTAAAGTGGTAAATGTGATAATCTTCATAGCACTGACCATAATTTTTATGTTAGGCTGTATACAAATATGGAGAATGTTTCTGATACTGGTTTCCTAAATTCATCATCCACTAAAATGAAACAAATTCTTAGCCTATAAGAGACTAATGGAAAATAGTTTAAATGTATTATAATCTTCATTCTGATGATGTGACGATATTAAAAGATAGCAATTAGTGTTACACATAAAAAATATTTGACTAATTTCTAGATGTCTACCCGAAAAGGTGTTGTCACTGTTTTATACGATATTATGAATATGACAAGAGTGATAAGTGCAAACGATGCTTTACCATTATAAGTTATATTCTACAGTTAATGCCCCTTTTCTTTACACTATCAAAAATGGAATACTGGTTTTCCTACATATTGTCTTGTATTGAGGACGACATTTCTTTTAGTCTTGAAACAAAGAATTCATATATTCTGTTTTCACACTTACGTGAAGAGGAAACATATGATCGCCGTCCTGTAATAAAATTTGAAGTGGTAAATGTGATAATCTTCATAGTACTGACCATAATTTAACTATAGATGACACAGCTCTTTTGATGTATATATTATTTTGGTGGTGATTCATATGTTAGTTGAAGGTTTGAAATTTGGATTCCAAAAACATAGGATGTATATTAGACCAAGCTAACAATGGGAGTATTTATGTTTTATGAAATTGATGGTTTTAAGTGATATTTGAAAAGATTTTATCCTTTATCTCTTGAAACAACAAGGTCAATAATATCTCTTATTGTTTGGTTCTCACACATAGTGCTAGAAACATATGATTGCCGTCTTGTAAAGTAATAAAAAAGAACATTAATCATGATCTAATGCAACAATAATCAGGCCATAAATGATACCTAATTGTATGAAGGAGTTTTAGATATTTGTGTTCTTTTTCATCTTCTATTGACTAAAAAACATTCGGGATTAACTCGGTACAAGTGGGAAATAGATTAATCTTACAACAATATTCATTCTGTGCATGTATGGATATGAGAAGTTTGCATTGTCAAAAGATAAATTTAGTGTTGAATATATATTACATTAAACTTTATTTATGCATAAACTCTCGGGCAAAAGAAACTATACACCCATGTTTGATGGTAAGTAAAACTGGACAAACAAGAAATGGTTATTCGATGGGAAAGTATTTCGCACGGGTGTCGTAGTTATGTTTTGGATCTTAAGTTTGTAGTGATTCGGCGACTGATTTAGCCTAAATACATTTTGATAACGATTGTTATTTTTTGATCAAATCAAACTTTCAAGAGTATATTTCTTGTTTGCCCGGCAATATCTTACAATCTTAATGAAATGACAAAAGCATGTTTTATGCAACATTCCCTTCATTATTATAAGCTATATTGCGCCGTTAATGTTGTTTACTTTATACTTTCAATAATGGATTAGTGGTTTCCTAAATATTGGTTCTTTATTTAAGCAAATATCCTTTGACACTTCAAACCAAAATATATACACCCTCTTTTAACACTCACTGGAGTTGGAACGTCGACCTGTAATGCAATGTTAAGAAACAACTGTTAAACCTTCATGATACTGGCCATAATTCAACTAAACGTAAAACAGTTCCTTTCCTGGTTTTATGTTAGGCTGTATACAAATATGGAGAATGTTTCTGATACTGGTTTCCTAAATTCATCATCCACTAAAATGAAACAAATTCTTAGCCTATAAGAGACAAATGGAAAATAGTTTAAATGTATTATAATCTTCATTCTGATGATGTGACGATATTAAAAGATTGCAATTAGTGTTACACATAAATAATATTTGACTAATTTCTAGATGTCTACCCGAAAAGGTGTTGTCACTGTTATATACGATATTACGAAAATGACAAGAGTGACAAGTGCAAACGATGCTTTACCATTATTAATGATGTTCTACAGTTAACGCCCCTTTTCTTTACACTATCAAAAATGGAATAATGGTTTTCCTACATATTGTCTTATATTGAGGACGACATTTCTTTTAGTCTTGAAACAAAGAATTCATATATTCTGTTTTCACACTTACGTGAAGAGGAAACATATGATCGCCGTCCTGTAATAAAGTTTAAAGTGGTAAATGTGATAATCTTCATAGCACTGACCATAATTTTTATGTTAGGCTGTATACAAATATGGAGAATGTTTCTGATACTGGTTTCCTAAATTCATCATCCACTAAAATGAAACAAATTCTTAGCCTATAAGAGACTAATGGAAAATAGTTTAAATGTATTATAATCTTCATTCTGATGATGTGACGATATTAAAAGATAGCAATTAGTGTTACACATAAATAATATTTGACTAATTTCTAGATGTCTACCCGAAAAGGTGTTGTCACTGTTATATACGATATTACGAAAATGACAAGAGTGACAAGCGCAAACGATGCTTTACCATTATTAATGATGTTCTACAGTTAACGCCCCTTTTCTTTACACTATCAAAAATGGAATAATGGTTTTCCTACATATTGTCTTATATTGAGGACGACATTTCTTTTAGTCTTGAAACAAAGAATTCATATATTCTGTTTTCACACTTACGTGAAGAGGAAACATATGATCGCCGTCCTGTAATAAAGTTTAAAGTGGTAAATGTGATAATCTTCATAGCACTGACCATAATTTTTATGTTAGGCTGTATACAAATATGGAGAATGTTTCTGATACTGGTTTCCTAAATTCATCATCCACTAAAATGAAACAAATTCTTAGCCTATAAGAGACTAATGGAAAATAGTTTAAATGTATTATAATCTTCATTCTGATGATGTGACGATATTAAAAGATAGCAATTAGTGTTACACATAAAAAATATTTGACTAATTTCTAGATGTCTACCCGAAAAGGTGTTGTCACTGTTTTATACGATATTATGAATATGACAAGAGTGATAAGTGCAAACGATGCTTTACCATTATAAGTTATATTCTACAGTTAATGCCCCTTTTCTTTACACTATCAAAAATGGAATACTGGTTTTCCTACATATTGTCTTGTATTGAGGACGACATTTCTTTTAGTCTTGAAACAAAGAATTCATATATTCTGTTTTCACACTTACGTGAAGAGGAAACATATGATCGCCGTCCTGTAATAAAATTTGAAGTGGTAAATGAATGTGATAATCTTCATAGTACTGACCATAATTTAACTATAGATGACACAGCTCCTTTCATGTATATATTGTTTTGGTGGTGATTCATATGTTAGTTGAAGGTTTGAAATTTGGATTCCAATAACAGAGGATGTATATTAGACCAAGCTAACAATGGGAGTATTTATGTTTTATGAAATTGATGCTTTTAAGTGTTATTTGAAAAGATTTTATCCTTTATCTCTTGAAACAACAAGGTCAATAATATCTCTTATTGTTTGGTTCTCACACTTAGTGCTAGAAACATATGATCGCCGTCTTGTAAAGTAATAAAATAGAACATTAATCATGATCTAATGCAACAATAATCAGGCCATAAATTATACCTAATTGTGTGAAGGATATTTAGATATTTACTACAGAAATGACAAAAAATGTGTTTTAACGCAATATTCCCTTCATTAGCATGTTACAGAGTTAATGTTGTTTACTTTACACTATGAAAAATGGAATAGTGGTTTCCTAAATATTTGTTCTTCATTAATGTAGATATCCTTTGACACTTGAAACAAAGGATTTTTATACATCCCCTTTTCACACTTACTGGAAGAGGAACGTCGACCTGTAATGTTAAGAAGCAACTTTTAGAAATTTTAGTTTTAAATATTTACATTTTAATACTCATTCTGAGCATGTATTGATATGAGCATAATTATGTTTCATCAACGATAAGATGACATCAAATTTTATCCTCAAGTTCTGCATGTTATTATTTTATATTGTTTCGTGTGACGATTCTTTTCAATACATAATAAGAACTATGAGAGATAAGACATTACATCACTGACGACCACAAGTGCTAAAGCAAGGGAAAGAAGTTAATATCAACATTATTTAATCATAGAAAGAAGAAGCAAGTGTTTTAACACATTTGAAACTTCACAAATACCTTTTTTTGACGTAATAAACGCGCCGCTCTAAAAAGCGCCCACGGCGATATTTGCTAATATATTAGCTAGTGAACAATCCCAATTAGCATCCCTTCCGATTGATCAATGTACACAACACTTATTTATTCGCGTAAAATACGCACTCGTGTGTTATATGCACCCTTAATTATGAGCAATTAAATTCTGGTAAAATGTATCTCTCGTATATAAACATTTCAGGCTGTCAGCATAAACCACAAAATTTATCTTTCAACCCTGGTTTATTTTCATCAAAATAATATTCTAATAAGAGCCACCTATTTCTAATTTTGAGAGCGCCCTTGGCGCTTATTACGTCGAATACGGTATCTATCAGTAATACTACTTTTCATTTACGCCACTATTACGGAAAAGGTCGAGATATTGATACATAATCATGATTATTATAAGACAATCATCGCATTTACTTGAATCAGGATGGAAACTACGAAATTCTGAGGAAAGTAAAATGTTGTGACATATTGATGCTTTGTTCTTTCAAATAATTTATATCATGAGACTCAGTGACGTTTTTACAGTCTTCTTATTATGTGTTTGTCAATGAATTACATCCAGGCAAAGGTGTTACCAAAACATGGATTCTTATATCACTCGAAACAGAAATCAGCTAATACAGATATTTTTTGCAACCACAATAAAATATGACCTTCTGAAATATATAAAAGCGTCAAAACCTCTGCAATACCTAACACAAGTGCGATAGCCTATCGGCACGTACATTACAAGACGTCACCACAGCGAAAAAGTATGAATAAAATGAAGTGGTCAAGTTATTGTCATCGTCGGTTGAACTTGTCCTTAAAGGTATGTTTATACATTTGATTGCTTGGTTTTAAGGATTTTGTTTATAAAAACAAAAACAACAACAATAAAATTAGCTTAAACATGACAAGCGTTATTGCCTTAACTTGGGTAACTGGGAAGCCATACCACTAAAAGCAGGAAGTTATACTGACACCCCTCTTTATACACGTTTTACAAGGATTATCAGGTTATCGTGTTACACTATGTTATGTATAAAGGCACCAATTACGTGTGTTTAAGATAAATTCATTCTACATATTCTTACGTGAAGAGGTCTGTTTAGAATCTGTAAAAATAGAAAAGGATTAAGTGAGCTGTATCGAAACCTGCATCACCACCTATATGCAAAATATGACACATAAAACTCAGTTGTTGATACACTGCATCCAGAAAATCTGTAAGAGAACAAAAAGTAAGAACTTAAAACTACTTAGGAGCGCTGCATAATGCTACTATTTCTAGAAGTCACATTTAATTTTCATCTCAATAAGTTCAGTAGTGAGAGAGAAAAACTCTCGCCGTGTTTGCGGCTATCTTTCTAAAATCGATGTCAAGGGCGAGATCATGCATTGACACAATGTAAACATTACCGATAATTGTTTTGCATTTCAGCGTCTTGGTTCCATGATGTCTTGGTTTGTGTCCAAAAAGGATTTGATAAACCCTTCTCTGACTGATTAGTGTATAACACTGTTTCACCTTATTTGATAAGCAAAAGATGGGTACCACCGACAGTAAGAAAACTAAAAGTATGAGCCACTGGCTATTGTATTCTCTTGATATTCTGAAGAGCCCTGTTTGTGGATTTGTATTAGTCATAACGTAATAAAAGCCTAATAAAATCAGTTAGAGGACAACGCATGCAATAACGGAATGGAATTACAAACTACAAACAAATATCCCCAGATATATTCATGATCTCTGACGTGTTTTCTTCAAGATATAACAATAATGGGTCTAATAAACAAGAGATGATACCTAGACATATTTTATATCCTTAAAAAACAAGAAACGCATAATAATATAAACAATGAAATTATCAAATGCTCAGCCGAAACGATACGTAGGTTTTACTGAGTAGAATCGCCAAATGACTTACCTTTTACACTGGAAGATTTCAGCGATCTTCCTACAAGAAAATTAATGCAAAAATTATAATTCTTTTATCTATAAATATTAATAACGCATTTGAAGATTTGACTTCTTTTTTTCAAAGATATTATATATTTCAGTTATGTGATAAATCTTAAACACAATGTTTGCATTTACAAATTAAAGCTTATATTCTTAAAATTATACAAAAAGATTAGAAATATACTTACTTCGTGTAACTGCAAAAAGGTAAAGATACACACATTAGTATATTTGAAATATGATTATTAAAGCCTATTATAAACTAGAAACTGATAGAGGAAAATAAGATATTTTCTATTTCACAGAATTGGCGTAAATCCATTACATTTCCATTTATATATATTTATGGTCATAGTTCAGATTATAGCTATAAGAACGCAAGTGATGTATAGCAAGATCTATGAATGGTTAACACATTTTAATGTATAGATATAATGTAATGTATACAAACTCGTACCTTCACAGTGCACATTCTTTGACATAAGTCAAACGTTCACGCCGTTGTTGAATTAAATGGTTGTCAGAAGAAGGAGTCATTGCGGTATATTAGAATATTCAGTGTACAATGCTGCTGTAAATGCTGCTCATATCAATTTTATCGACAGACGAGGAATACTTTTGGAATCTAATAAATTCATGTTCTGAAGAAACATTCTAGACATTTCATAACAAATCCGACTCATAATTGTACACTATAGTCATAAGGAAAACGGCGCGTGTATGTATGATACATTCATGTAACAAGCAGTGGCGCTTAATTTGGACATTGGTGCACATGACGTCGCGTGTCAAGCTGCCTTTATGTTGAGGTACAAATGGTTGGTTGGTTACATGAGGTTGGTTGGTTCAGCATGTTAAGCGCGCCAAGGGCATAGACGTCTACGTGAATGTCTCGAAACGTATACCTGATGATGCAGCTTATCGGTGTCTGTCACGACTGACTATTTCGTTAGGGATGAATCTATACATTCATGAGTCCAGGTGCGTAAATGTAACATAGTGATTCTACGTAATTATATGCATTTTAACTGAAAAGCCAATGTAATATATATCTAACTCTGCGTCTGAAAAGAGAAAACATTGTAAACAAAGCATTAGTGTTCTTCTGAATGCGATAAAAACGAGAAATTGGGACATAGGTCTGAAATTATCGTCCATGCGCGTGTCTCATCATTTCAAAATGATCGCAATATTGATGTGTGTAATATGTGCATTATCGTAGGAAAATGATGTTATCTCATGCCATGACATCCAAATTGTTGAATACTTAGTTAATATATTAATCAAGGGATATGGGATTTTTTAATTAAACATCTGGATATTCCGATCTTTGAATAAGTGATTGCTTACTTTATGTTATCATCTTTGAATATTTGTTTGCTTAGTGATAGAAATTATAGGTATGGAATATCTTTTAAGATTTGGTTTACAGACACATAAGTCTTATTCATCTACATTCGGAACATGTCGCTTCAATGTGTTTTCGAGATGGAGAAATTAATTATGCTGGTCTTAATGCAAAACCAACAGTTATCATAAAAGTTATTGAAAATTTAAAACAAAACTATTATGACGAATATAGACTAAATGACTTTACACTCTGTTCAGTGTCCTAAGTGTGTACACTCAAGCAACATTTCTGGTGTCCATCGCCTTGATCTTGCTGAAATTGCTAAAAGTGGCTTAAGCCATACTCACTCACCCACTCAGTCACACACATAAAACAAACACCTATTAACCATCCATTTTAATGCGTACTGGGCTAAAACAAATCTTACACCTCATCTGCTTTCCCTTTCAAACTGATGTGCATCTCTATTGGTAGTGGAGAGGCATTTCACCAGAACTTGTGTACAAAACAAATATCGCTAAGCAGACTTTGAATCTTTTTCCGTTTCTTCAAATGAAAAAATATCTTAAAAAGTTAATAGGTTCTTTACAGCCCAATTAAACACCTATATACCTTAACTCTTTTAAGAAACAGAGGGTGGTTTAGAGTTGTGTGTTTCTGAGAAATCACAACATGATGAATAAGAACATGACCACATAGTTACATTTGTGATGGGTCTACTTTGGTAAAGGACTTACAATATTTAATTTGATGCAGTCTGGAATTACTAATTTTGCTTTCTTTTAAATTTATGTCAAGACATTTATACTCAATATGCTTGTAACACAAAAACTGTCAACTATGATTTCGTGAATCAGTGAAATATATGGGGGCTTTCCACCCCCACCCCACACCCCACATCTCCACCCACACCTACAACCCTCCACGGCTACCTAATTTCCTTCGACGTTTTCTTTCCTTCTTGCTCTTACGCCGATTCTTGCCGCTTTTACGTCTTCTGCCTCCTCGCCTTTTACCCCTGCCTCTCCGTTTTCCGATCTTCTTGCGCTTACGCCGATTCTTGCCGCTTTTACGTCTTCTGCCTCCTCGCCTTTTACCCCTGCCTCTCCGTTTTCCGATCTTCTTGCGCTTACGCCGATTCTTGACTCGTTTTCCTCCACGCTTACTGCTCGGGCCCCTTCTCCCTGTTTTGTTTCGTTTTCCCGTAGCCTTGGTACGTTTGCGGTTTCGTTTCTTTCTCCCTCCTTTTCGTTTTCCTCTGCTTTGACCTGTATTGTCTGAAACACACGGAAAGAACGAATACTTATCAGTAAGGAATGCCGAAGGGAAACAGTTGTTTATGAACATATTTTAGTGGTATTACCGAGTAAAATGGTTTATGGAGTTGTCTCCCTTTCATATCTGCCAACAGTGGTCATGGCGGTAGAGGACGCCACACAACCACCGCTAGCAAACCAACTTCGTTGCAATGCAGTTGATGTTCGAGTTTTTCCGCAATTCAGAGGAATGAAGAAAACGTGAAGAAGTAATTCAGGTATCATCGGCTTTGGCGAAGAGTTGTTTTCACCGATAGGCCCAGCGTGTCTGGGTACAGTTATAAGTCGAACAGATGTAAAAGTGTTTGGATGGGAATATCAAGCAGATAGGTGGAACTGTTCTACCTAAGCATGTATTCACACTAGTTTCATACATGTATGGTACTGCTTGTTATATCCCTTCCATCTAAAGGACAAGCGACAGCCGTCTCATAAAACGTCTCATAAAACCTAAGTTTCAGTATATAACCTCTTCACCAACATTCAAAGGAAGAATATATTGTTTTCTTCTCATATCCCTTACGGGTATATAGAGATTACGATACGGGTGTCTGTCGGAAACCGTTTTTCTTACGAGTTGTTTCAAAACGTAGCTGACGAGTGAATGCGAGTTTGATACGTTTATAAACAACGAGTTGTTAGATAAATTGTGTACGAGAGCAGTAAACTGTTTCTTACAAATCATAAAATCGCACAATTTTAGCATCGATTAGATGCATATTTGATCTATTCGCATAATGGCAGTGGCGCATTAATATATAACACAACGGTCACATGTGACGTCATCCGTCTTACTGCTCACTTGGTCTGATGTGTCTGTCACATTAAATATTGGTTAAACGGACCGCCGTCGAATTCGATCTATCTTCCATACGATGCTTTGAAATAATGTGTTTTAGTGTATACTTCAGTGCGGAAGAGAAGTTGAGAAAAGTGATATTTTCACTGCAGTGAACATAACACTTTGACGGAAACCAACCCCTCTTTGCTGTATTTTTTTTTAATTTTCTGTATATAATCGTAATAATAGTCCATTTATATGGCGCTGTACTCCATGCATAAGCTTGCTCCAAATACTTAGACATTGTTACCCCGGTCAGTGGATCAGTGTGTACACGATATTCATTCTTAGCTCCCTTGGGGGGTATACAACCCAAGCTGCCCGTGAGGCGCTAGAAGGTTAACAGTCATAGCCATCTCATCCTACCGGGTACCCATTCCCTGCTGGGTGAACAGAGGCCTATTACGAGCAAAGTCATTTTCCTAAGGTGACACCACATGTTCTACATGTGCTTTTGTGGGGGGGCTGGAGTACATACGCCTAACCAGATTGGTTACACATGCTGAGAAGAGATTCTGAAATTGCCGAGCATTTTGTTATTTGTCGTTTGTTGTATGACGCCGCACTCAGCAATATTCCATCTACGTAACGACGGCCTGGAATTAATCGAATCTGGACATGAAAATTCAGTGAATGATAATATGCACAACGTCATTTGCGGTCGGAGTACGATGACAGGCAGTCAACGATCACCGATCGCTGACCATGCGATCCTTTTAATCGCTGCTTACGGCCAGCATAGGTGGTCCTATTCTAACCCGGAATCCCCGAAGGGATGGTAGGGGGTTGGTTTGGGTGATCGCGAGTAATAGTCTAGATAACGATGCTTTCAAAGCAATGATTTGATACAGAACTGATCTAAAGTTTCAGATCTATTCTTACAGTGAGTGAGTTGGATTTAACGCCGCTTTTAACAGTATTCCAGTTATATCACGGCGTGTCAGCTTAATGTGGGAGGAAAGCCCGGAGTGATGCAGGTCTCAGACGTTTACCATTTCGGCGAAACATAATCGGGGCGAACCGGGATTCGAACTCACAATCATAGGGTTCTGGCGTCCCCAAGGGACGCAACTCTGCACAGCGAATCGCTGCGCCTTAGTCGACTGGGCCACCCGTGCCCCCTTTTATTCTTAGAATGTGTGTAAACGTGAAGGGATGTACGAAAAGGCGGGTCTCAGTTGAGCTAAACATTAATAACTCAAGAATAGTAATAAAACTATTTTAATGACCATAAGAAATATTGCCTGAAAGCAAAGGTCATTGTCCGATTCCGACTGTAATACTAGTAGATAGTAAAAAGAATGTTTTCATTAATCACTATCAAATAGTGATGAAATCAGGTGTTCGCCGAAAGGTGGGCGTTTCCTACCACACCATTGGCACCCGTCACAAACACACGTAAAGGCAAGTCAGCAAACACGGGAACACGTGGTACAAGTTGAAGTAGGGAATTGCATCGGACATAAGTTTGGTCACTGATGCGTCAAATTTGGAAATGGCCTTCACTTGTCTACCTTAAAACTTTTCGAAAGCTTTACTAAGGCCTGGAATGCTGTAGCCCTGATCAAAAAACATTTTAACACGAATTTTTGAATTATTCGTAGAAAGAGAAAATATACCTTTTCGATTTCCAGAAGCAGTCTTACTACGCTGAGCTCCAGCTGAAAATAATAAGCGTAATTTATTGAAATAGTCATATCATAATAGAATGTTCCCAGAACTAAAAAAGTGTGTATCAACTGACGCATATCTCCAAACAGCATAAACCATTTCCACAACTTAAGTAGCCATTTGTATTTAATCAGAATACCCAACCATGTGGATCTTTTATTGGCATTTAGAAGTTAGATGAACATGAATACATGACACTTTTTATAATCTAAAGACAAAAGCCAGCATCTTCGTACCCAGCGTATACTCTACTGTGGTTTAACCATATCATTAACCGCAAGTGGACATCTTGATTGTCTTATTGTTATGCTGTCACCACAGTCAGCTCTTTGTCATCACACTCAGCCCAATTACTACACCTTCATTGTACTTAATTCGCTTCTCTCCCTTTAATACCCTTGGGTTCCGCGTTTAGTATTATATACTACAGTGAGGAAGACTGTGTTTGAGAAAAGTTATATTTTCACTGCAGTGAACATACCACTTGATATTTCACTGCAGTAAAAAATAACAATTTGACAGAACTATTGTCATACAAGAGTTACCTCCCCGCAAATTGTCTCCCTTTATCGTAAGTGTTTGGCAAGTACACAAACTGTTGGCTTCTTTTTAAAGTTAGTTCAACAATGACAAGGGAAAATAAATGACATTTATAGAGTTAATATTTTCTGTTTTGTTATTTTCTTGAAAATGTTTCGATATAAACTAAATTTCTCATGTAACTCGTCAATCGAGACTGTTCGTTTCGCAAAGCGCCATTTCTGTTACTTGAACAGCCGTGTCGTTGCCACTTGTGAAAATATCTCCTTTCCCTCGTCACTCCATGAGAAAAAACATGATATTTCACTCGACACTGATTTAACATCTATATCTTTGTGCCGTATCAAACTTGTATGAACATGTCAGTTTGTATATATATGTTAACTCAAACGCTTACTCAGTATTAATCTGATTAAGTGGCAGGAAGAAACGTCGTTACAGAGAATAAAGAAGTTTTTATCAATACCAAAAAGTGTCATGTATTCAAATATAGTTGTCGAAACATGTTAAAGTAATCCCTATTTTGATTGTATATAAATCAGACGGGATGTGAGTTGAAATGGGGATTAACGTTGAGTTCTCTCTCGCGTTCTCTAAGTAAAACCTGTTTTAATAAAACAAGAGGTTTCCCCTTGTGCCAGTATATTATGACAGGGGACGAATCTTGATACTCTTTATGTCCATATTTACAACTAGATAACGTTCGGCATGCAGCAAAAGAACCTTGATTTAGAGTTCAACAAGATTCTGGTTTCATGCGAAATTGTGGGACACATGGTTGCAGCAAGTTCAACTTTATATATGATACTATCTACATGCAGCAATGGGAATCTAGAGTATTAGTTCGACAAGGTTCTGGTTTCATGCAAGAGGTGGTAAGAACTGAGACATTATCGTCCATGCATCATTTCACGATGATCGCAAAAGATTGTCGTGTGTAACATGCGCACAATGAAATGCAAAGGATGTTACCTCATACCATGGCATCACAATTATGGAATACTTGCTTAATTTATTAATAAAGGCATGCAGTTCAAGACCTGGGATTTGTGATTATTCATTATCTTTGAAACTGAATATAAATCGTGATTGACAAAGACTGCATGGCTTTACAAGTTGTTCAATATTATTTGTACGCACAAAAACAAACACTTTTTAACCATCCATCTTAATGCGTGTTAGGGGCAAATGGAAACTTATGCCGAATTTGCTTTCCTTTTCAAACTGATGTACAGTATCTATGGGAGTGGAGATACGTTTCACCAGAACTTGTGTAAACTCCCAAAAAATGCTTAGCAGAATCGGAATCTTTTTTCAGTTTGTTCAAATGAATGAAATATCCTAGAAAGTCATTGGGTTCATTTTCATCCCAATTACACATCTATATACCTTAAAATTGTTTGCAAAAAGTGGGAAGTTTAGAGTTGTGTGTTTCTGAATCACAATATGATAATAAGAACATGACCACATAGGTACATTTGTCATTGAGTATACTTCTGTAATGGATATAGAACTCTAAACTACTTTCACAATTATTCAGTTGCACGTTTCATTAACTTTCACAATTTTCATAGCTTCAAAACAATAATTTGTAGCAACACTATCTTCCCTTTTTTTTGTAAATGTTAACTACAAACGGTTTATGTTCACAAAATCCTAACACGAAGTAATATAAAAGAGGTCAAGGATATATCATGCATTGATCCTATTTCTGTGAATTAGTGTTACACATCATGCAAATTCTATCCCATGCATATCTCAGTAATGTTACCTCCGCGGTTTCTTTCCCGAGCTCCTGCAGAAAGAGTAAGTCATATATTTATTCTTGTTTTAAACGAATGAGAAGCAAAAGAGAAAAGTACTTACCAAAGAGTGGCAATGCACCATTGTCGAATGTCTTCTTCTCTTGCCAATTGGTCTTGGGTGACACAACTCGCTGTGCAGAGTTGCTTCCCTTAGTCCTTCTAGGGTATACTGGTTGTTCGAATCCCGATTTTGAATCTTGGCCTGTTATCCGATCCGCGGTTTCGTGTTTCCACGCCGTGATGTAACTGACGTACTGCTCAGAATGGCGTAAAAAAATCACGCACACTCGACACACGCACACTACGCCTAGTCTCCATGCAAGAGGTGAGGTGAGGTGAAATGGGGTTTAACGTCGCGTCCAAGATTATTGCACTTATATAGCGACGTGCATGCACGTGTATGTATGTGTGAGGCTGCTTGTACTAGTCCGGACTAATGCCGATTTATAGTGCTAGCTCACTGAGATACCCTGCCGCAGTTTAACATGAATACCCCGCTCAGAGTGAGTGAGTGAGTATGGTTTTACGCCGCTTTTAGCAATATTCCAGCAATATCACGGCGGGGGACACCAGAAATGGGCTTCACACATTGTACCCATGTCGGGAATCGAACTCGGGTCTTCAGCGTGACGAACGAACGCTTTAACCACTAGGCTACCCGACCGGTAACGGTAGACACAGTATACTGTCTCCGAGCCGACCAGTCCTTGTTTTAGCCCCTTAATGCCGAGCGCCAGACAAGGTAACAACAAGTACCATCTTTTAACGTCTTTTGGTATGACGCGGCCGGGGATCGAACCCCGGACCTTCCGCTCTCCGGGCGGACGCTCTACCACTAGACCACGGAGGCGGTCCTCCATGCAAGAGACTTAATTGTGGTGTGATATTGCTGAAAGATTGCTCACAGCGGCGTAAACCGATATTCAATCTCCAGTAACATAGTTCCATTGTAGGAATAATCCGTTTACATTTAGTTAAAATAAAACTATGTGTTTTTTAACGTTATAAAATGATTGTTTCGTTTAGTGATAAATGACACCGTTTATTTTCCAACACGAACTGATTAGAAACAAAGGGGCTTTTAGTCGTTAAATGTTCACGAGTTAAATGTTATCTCAAGTTATCGCACCAGAAGAACACTGTACAACAACATCTGATACAAAAACAGTTCTTACCTGATTTGGACCCTGTGGATTTCGAACCTGTAAATAGAAAAAAAATTCTCAATATTGAAAAGGCAACATTTATCGCATACCCTCAAGTATGTCTACATTTCTGAAATGTTGCATTACCTGAGGAATTATATTTATACAAGGGTTGTCAGTGTGCTTCCACGGCAGTGTCATTAAAGCAGCTTGTATTTCTAATCCTTATTTTTGTAGCTTACAATCACCCTGACAAATAGTAACTATCTGCTGATGTTATCTTTGGAATGCTGGTACATATATTTCCAACGGAACCCTTATAAGTATGTCATATACATTATGTTCTCCTTGAAAACTATCATGTATGTAATAAAATCTGCTTATATGGTGTTTTTTTACAACTACTCAACTTGATCTGTCGTCTATTGATGTACTCAACTTGTGTCTGTCCCTTTGTGAGCATTGCAACTTTACTGAGAGTTAAATGGTACAGAATAATCATTTTCAAATCAAGCAAAAAGTACTTATCCCCAACATTTCAACATCATGTTTTATTGCTTACGGCAAAAGAAAATTACGTTGACCCCAAACTTCTTTAATTACGACGTCAATCCATGCATCTTCGTCAGCGGTTAGTCGTTTCAGGTCAGAATTGGTGATATTTGACTCATTGTGTTATGTTTCCTACTGCTATGTCAAACACGTTGGACATTGACTCCGGAAATAATACGGTTTTTTAAAGTTTTTAGATGTTCTCCTTCTGTGGTAACATGGTAATACATAAGTTGTTTACTACCAATGATATTCCATATGCTTACATGGAGAGTGTATATGACTCATTTGGTAAACCTAACAAATTAGAATTAACAACGACCATCATATATTTCATTCGAACACTAGCATTCATTAAAGGGTTTGGAAAGGATCTATCTGTAAATGTTGTGCTATTGAGGAAATGGTTGACAGTAGAATCTCACTTAAAGCACTTTATATTTAACGTCGCATCGGTAATACATCAGCAAAATACCGATTGATATCATTTGACGAGTTAAGACATTGAAACAAAATTCATTAAAGGTAAATATACGATAATAAGAAATAATCCTTGGAGCATTATTCAAAATTAAAACAGAAATATACAATACAGTAATTACGTTTGCAACTCTGCGCAGTTATATTCAATCGTACAACAACAATTCAAAGATCTACAGGTAAATAAAGAATGTGTTAAAAATTAGTTCTAAAGTACAAATGAGTTAGGTCTTTAATCGGAAAATTGTTTCAGAAAATAAATGACAAGAACCTACTAAAAAGGTATGGTAATTTAAGCAATCAGACATTGGAAATTTGTACTTTTAGCTATTTCGAGGAAAAATATTTATTGTAAATATTGACTGAAATAACTCTAATATGTCTATCTGATCAATCTCCATACATTGAAAATATTTCGTGATGGAGCTTGCAATATTCGGTTCCACACAAATATATGAGCGAGCGAAAACAGGAAAATGATGTTTAAAATTCTGGAAATGAAGATACATGCTTTTGACTAAATGCGTGGCTAGTTTTAATAAATATAGAGATAATCAGTGAAAATAATTTATTAGTAAACAAGTGCCTATAAGGATATCATGAGTTTAAACTTGTCCAGACTGTTCCTCTGTGTCATTTTCGCAAAATTATTTTGACTAACCCTTTGACACCTGCACACGTATAACAATAATATTTAGATTATATTGGGTACAATGTTCGAAGGCCATTTCTGTTTTCCCCGCTGTGATATTGCTGGAATATTGCTAAAAGCGGCGTAAAACCAAACTCCCTCACTCACTCGCTTAGATTGTATAATGTTTAGAATTTATAAACATAATGAAAATAGAACGCTTTTCTCCAGGTACAAATATTGCTTTGTAGTTAATAAAAGCGACAAAACTATTGTCATGATCAAAAGAAATCTCTGTTAAAGAATATCAAATAGCGCCTAAATGTGGCATCTAAACTATACTTTTTCTGCATATTAGTATATATGCGTGGTCAAGTGCCCTGCTAGCGAAGTAATAAGAGCCGGTGAGTGAGTGATTGAGTTGGGTTTAACACATTATCAATATTAACTCAATATATTAAAACAACAACTACAGCCTTCTGCATTACCCAGATTGTCAGAAGGGCTGTATTCCTGGTAGCAAACCCGGGCACTCTCCCAATGTCGGTCAACAGATTGGGAGGTACCAAACCTGAGGCACCGAGAACAATGGGGAGTCGGACAACTTGACACTTAAGATGCGTGCTCTGCATATTTGCCATGTTTTTCCTGAATCTTGTCAATTACATTAGTGTCAAAAGGGACAGAAAATTCAATAATAAAAATGATTTCATTTGATATATCAAAAAGGACAAGATCAGGTATGTGGCCTGGATGGGTCTGAGGCTGTATACGGTCCTATTCCCACTAATTTTGTATTTATCATTTTCCACTCTTAGTAGTAGTAGTAGTAGTAGTAGTAGTAGTAGTAGTAGTAGTAGTAGTAGTAGTAGAAATAGTATTAGTAGTAGTAGTAGCAGTAGTAGTAGAAATAGTACTAGTATATAAATTAATCACAATCAAACAATTTGTGGAACAAGTTGGTATAAAGCATATGATCAATTGAAATATTTATTATATACCAAGTTAAGAGCGTACAAAATTAACAGTTAAACTATAAGCAGGGCTTGCAGGTAGTGAAAGCTGTCAGTGTCGAGAGTAATTCAAGAGTGTCCTTTCTTATTCAATATCGACAACATGATTATACAACATATATATCAAACGGCATGTATGTGATACACTGGTACAATTTCTATATCAGTTATCAACACTGCATTACCTTTACACTGTTCATTATCACATATTCCTTTGTAGCTAATTTGCCCAGCTGAAGATGTATTGATATTCTCCAAAGTTAACATATTAATGGTCCCTACTGCTGTTGTCATTCCATAGCTTACTGCTGTTGCCCACTAAACTAACTAAAGAGTCCACCGTGAGTGGTTAAGGTCTTTCTAATGGGCATATGTTACAAAGGTGAGACCGACACTTAGTCAAAGGTAATCAATAGCTAGTTTATACTAGTTCACATAGGTTTCAACAGATAGACAGTACGATCCGCTTGAGCTGCATTTAACAGTCTCAGTCACACCTATTAAATCACAAGCCAAGACAATGCAAAAAGAAACCTTAAATATCCTTCTCCTTAGTCATGAAATCGTCTTTCACATGTTAGAATGAAAAAAAGTTGTCTACATTACCTTACTGACGAAACACTATTTCCTGCCTCCTATTAACTAACTCATAATCCCTTTTAAAGTAAGAAATGAGCTTACTTTGTGCAGACGAAATGGCCACCAGGGTGACAACCACCAGAAGGAGAAGTATCCACCACCTCATGGTGAAGATGTGGCTGTGGGCGACACTGGTTCCTACAACGTCGCTGTCACTGGTCAACTGTCGTTCAACGTAAATGAATTCGGGAACGACCGCAGCGTTTGCCGTCAGGCCTTCTTCCAGCTCAGCTTTATACTCTCATTCCGTTACCTGATGTTCCAGGGCATCTTTCATTGGTTGAAACCTGACGGAAAACATTCTGATTGGCTGAGACGTGATGTTTTGGCGAAGGGAGGACTTTTATTGCTATTGACCAATAGAACGTAAGCCACATGATGATATGTATTGAATAGGCGTCTATGAGAGTCTATCAGACGTGGCAGACTGTATCAATAATCATGAAACGGGCATTGTTGCATAGGTGTAATGTAGCCACGAACGCCTTGTCAGTCTCCCTCTGCATATAAAGTAATCTTTCAAGTTAATCCTGTTTAACTGTTTCTTCTTGTTATTGTTGCCATAATAGTTTATGTATTAGATAATGTTAAATCAATTTTTTATTATTCAAATGTTCATACAGTAACGGTAAACGATATATGCCTTCAGCGAAGTGTTTGGGTACATAATTACATGGATAATATCAAATAGTTCCGTTATAGTAGCTACACGTATTCATAACTGGAATCACCCATAAGACAGCGATGTGTGATAGATGCAAGGACAGGAAACTGAATTAATAAATATATTATTCAGAATCGCATGAAAAAATCTGAAAGTGAGAAATACTTGAAACTATATTAAAATCGTGCCGTTTATTTTGTTCTCATTTTCGATAACAAGAGCGTTAAACTCGTTGTTCAACAAACTAGTGTTATTCCCATGTACGTTACGCTATGCGCATTTTTGGTCTGAAACCTTATCATAAATAGAATACACACGTTGCACGAATCACTTAAATGAGCGGCGCAGCCAAGTGTGAAATCTCAACGTCAGTCACGAGATGAGATACATGTTATTTGAAAAGAAAATGACAAGAATTATATTTATTATGTATTATCACTTATTTTTGGAGACCTAATTAGTATTTCATCAATACATGCATAATAAAGTTTAATAATCACAGTTCAATGCTACCATGAACTCATCGACATGTTCCCGTTCTTCATCATGATACGATTTTTTAAGAGAGAGAGTGAGTATGGTTTTACGCCGCTTTTAGCAATATTCCAGCAATATCACGGCGGGGGACACCAGAAATGGGCTTCACACATTGTACCCATGTCGGGAATCGAACCAGGGTCTTCGGCGTGACGAGCGAACGCTTTAACCACTAGGCTACCCGACCGCCCCCGATTTTTTAAGATGTCAGCCTTCACATAAATATCATGGTAGGTTTGGGTTTCCATGGTTTGGTTGTGTACAAGGTAGAGATGAAAACATTCATGTCCCTATGATATTAATGTCTTGAGCAACATGAATTGTTCGTATACCAACTACCGTTGAAGAAGAAAGTATTAATCTGATGGTAAGGATATTTCAAGGATTCACATCTCTTCAGAATTCGCTTCAAGTCTTTACTCTGAAAGGAATCAAACTATATATTTCAGCGGACCCATAATACATTATTTGTTAAGAATATACATCATAACTAGTGGGGGTGGGTGAGTTCGGTTTTACGCCGCTTTTAGCAATATTCCAGCAATATCACGGCGGGGGACACCAGAAATGGGCTCATAACTAGTGAACGATATATTTATTTTTGCTAACCCTAAGGGCAAACTTTTGTTTTCAAGCAACTTCGGGAACAGATTATGGTTTATTAATACACACCAACATTGGCTCTAAAAAACGTGTGTCTTCAGATAACTGATGAAGGTGCTTTCACGGATACCTGTTAAGTCTCAGAGATGTATTTCTTAAGAAAATTTTTTATCTCAAAAGTATTTGAAATGGTTAATATATTTGAAGCGCCTGGAGTTCTACCGAATAAAGAAACTCTCTCAGAAATTGATGGAAAATTAATTATGCTTCAAACTGTTGAAAAAAAAGAAATTGCCTGTTACAGCATACGTTGTTGAAAGATTGGTTTTTTTAAAAGAAATATATATATCAAGACTTATAGTTTTAATTAAAAATATAGGATCTAGTGTCTGCTGAATGGGTGAGCATCAATATGTTTTTTTACAGGTTTTTTATTATACCACTGGTGGGGCAGGATACGCACACCTTTTCGAGAAAATCTTGTATCATTTCTGTTTAATTGCGATTCATAAACACGTGCTGATGAAAAATGTCGGAGTCGTAGAATAGACTCTAGTTTTAGCACCTATTTCTAATGGACATGGAAATGGTTTTCTTGCTTTTATTGATAACACGGTAGGTGAGTTTATAGTTTGATGAAAGGTGATGCCGATCTTAGACGTTCACAAACCAATGGTTATGATCAGTGCGATTTTGGGATTCGAACCCACGGTCATAGGATCATGGCATGCCCAAGGGACTCAACTCTGCACACCCCATTTAGACTACTAATACTCCAATTATTGTTACTGTCAAAATTAATTAATCCCGATACTATCTTGTCATTAGTGGAAAAGTAGACGTATATATGATCACATTTCCCAAAGTTAAATACTTGTATGCATATAAAGCCATTAGACTTATGTGTTCATTTAGGATATATGCGTGTGAATTTGCGTACCGTTCAATTGACGGAATCCTGTTAATACTTGCAGTATGTATTTTCAAATATATCATGCACGATTCAATCACACCACTAGAACTGTACAACGAAACCAATTATGTAAAAACGTCTATTCTGTTTAGGTATACAGACACGTAATACTTCTCGTGAGCGGCTGATGGAGTGTAGAGTTTCAACTGATTCAGTTATGATAAAATGGCAGAACCCTTTCCCATAATCATAAGAAATCTCTGCTTAAAGGAAAGGCCATTGTACGATTCCAACTAAATCATAAAAATGTGTTTTTGTATCACTATCAAATACCAGGTGTATTCGATGTCAGGAGATTTAAACATTTGAAACCTCCAACTGACCCCATCGGTTCCAAATGGAATTTCCGTGCATCAAATACTCAATAAAATCCGCAAATCTGAAAACAAATAATATTTATCTCCTGACTCAATTACTCCCGCCAAATCGGTATCATTTGTTACAGAAGCTGATATATGTCAATGCTCATCGTTGGTAACGCAGAGGCAGTAAAGTGTTATTACAAAAGTTGGTAATGCAGACTAAGCATCTTGATAAGTTTAGAAAGTGGGCTGTCTAAATGTTACAGAAACATGTACCATTTTTTTACCTGTTAAAACCCCCGTTAATATTGATCTTTTAGGTTTTGATACTGTCCCTAGGCATAACGTCAGCAACCACTCTTAATGTAGCCAACCAGCTGACGCAGTGATACATTCATGAAGGTGCTGTAATTACTAACGGAAATAGGCTCTATTATTCTGTATCGATGTTGAGAAAGTTGTATGGGACCAAGGTAGGGACACGCCACGCCAAGATGTGTGACTTAAGTTGGCATAGATGATGTACATTCATGTCCAAATTACTTTACCGCATGGTTTGTAATTGGCATTGACTGTGCGTGTTTATTTCAAAACCTTCATGGTTTTGCAGCCTCAGCAAACTAGTCTGATGTGTTATAAACAAACAAACAAGTTTTGCTGTAGTCTGGATGTTTGGTTGGGAATCCACAACTCAATTAAAATAAAAGTCTGTCGCCATAAGTAGTTTCAGATCAATGTGTTGTCGTCTCATTTATGAACTCCTGATTTATTTAATCTAATATGGAAATATATTAGGGATATTTATCTGACGACACAGATCACCATTTGATACATTAGTACTTCTGCCAGTGTCACCTTTAAAACACAGCTCGATTTGTCGTGTAAGTAATTTTCTATAGCAGCATCAGTGTGTGTCTCTCGGATAAGTTACAACCTATTTAACAGCTCTGGTAGAGATTCGGAATTATCGAAAGCAACTGCGACAGGAACGCTGGTATTATCACTTTGATGAAAGATTGGATACATGTTGAACTATGTCAAAATCGACATAGGTGCCTACACCAGAAGAAAGAAAAGCAAATGCGATCTTTGGTGGCCGTCACGCTTCTTTGCAGCAGGCCAAGTTTGGCAAACAATGATTGGTAATTATTGTTTGTTTCAGAAAGACGTTTTTGCACTTGGTCGATCAAAACTTGAACATTTCTGCAGTATGCAATCTTATCGATGTGTTTACGTCTATACACTTTTAAAAGTATCCAAAATATGATTAGCTGTCTTCGCATTATATAGAGAATCTAACTCTCGTGTCCTTTAATATCAAATATATCAACACGAGTTGATAAAAGTGGTAAAACTCCGTGGCTTGCTTCCCCTTTGATATATTTCATATGAAAAGACACGTGGGTGAGATTTTATTTACCATTTAACATAATTCTTCCATCTTTTTTTCAGTTTGGAGACAGTAATAAGAAGTGTTTTAAGTGTAAAAATTACTGCCAACAGCTTCAGTAGCAGAGCCATTATTGATGTCATTTGATTGTGACGTCATGGTAACCAATGATGTCACAATGGTCTTCAAAGCATTGTGATGCAATTTCACTGTAGCGATATCTACAATGTAGATATCGCTTGATCTCACACAAGCGATATCTCCTGTGGAACCAAGTTTTGGATGATAAAAAACTTCTCTAATGAACTAATGTACTTTTACATCATGTCTTTACCATCATTATTCGTGAAATGTCTTTCTGGTAAGCAAGCAAGGCTCGGGGTGCAACATTAAATCATCCAGGACAAATACGTCGTATTTCCGGGTTGCTAGCTGGTTATTCTACAAATAACTCATACTCAAGTTTTATAAGAAAATGTAGGAAAATGTGGGTTTTCAGATTACAAATGAAGTGAGTGAGTGAGTTGGGTTTAACGCCGCTTTTAACAGTATTCCAGTTATATCACGGCATGTCAGGTTAATGTGGGAGGAAAGCCTGAAGTGATGCAGGTCTCAAACGTTTACCACTTTGGTGAAACCCACGAGCACGGGTATGGTGCTGACAAACCTAGAAACATAATCGGGGCGAACCGGGATTCGAACCCACAATTATAGGTTTCTGGAGTGCCCAATGGACGCAACTCTGCA